CTTGCCGATGTAAACTTGTGCAGTATTTACTTTAGTTCGCCTTCCGGTGTACATTCGGGGTAGATAGGTAATCGCATTAAGTTACACAAAAATATCAACATGTGAAGTCAGCAGTACAGAATCTACATATATAATAACGCCAGATACTCGTATAATGTATCACCGACGTTCACAATTTCCTGCTTAGTCAGCCATGAGGTTAAGCAGCTGATTCACTATTTGTACTTTATACAAGACTTGGGTTCGCCGTGGCAACCTTGATGTAAAAATTTAATCATGTAACGGTGTTCTTTGCACTTGCTTGGTCAATAGAATTACCAGGCGTAATGGTACGGCGTATGGTAAGCTGTTAATATTTACTTTTTGTCTTAACATTTAATAAGTGTATCGCACGCAAGTACAAACTTGGATATATTATTTACTTTGTATTGCTTCTTCTGTATAACATTCTCTTTTGAATATCGACAGTCGTCACAGATGCTAATTCAGTTTTTGTTAAACGCGTTAAACGTGTTAAACGCGTACGTAGAATACGTAAGCACCGGGGAATTACCATTCTTAATAAAGTATTCGCCTTGTCAAATATTTCGATTCCTTTGGGCAAGTACATAAAAATTTTTTTTGTGTAATTGCCATGGCCGCCAACTGCTCCGCCACAAGCAGCGAAGACTGTTATGGGAGAAATTGCCAGTACACCTACAACGATAAAATCTTCCTCGGGAAGGGCGCTTTTGGTTTTGTATACCAAGCATCGATTACGCATCATGGGGATGGCGCAGAAATACGAGGAGATGTTGCCGTTAAACGTTGTCATTTTTCAAAAATGCCGGATCCCGTGCGCGATCGGGAGAACTGGGTGAAACGTCGTGCACGATGGGAGAATTTGATCAAGCTGAAGCATCAACGATTGTTAACGTACTACAAAATTTGTGTGTTCCAGTCACCAGGAGGAGCAAGTGTTGAATATCTAATGGATTACTGCAGTGGTATGTTGTGTTTAAAAGAGCGGTCATCGCTCGACTGCATGGTAAAGCGTATATAGGGGGAATTAACCTGCTGGGGCCAGCACTCCCTGTACTTGCTGCCGTCAGCCGGCTGGAGTTTTACGTTGTGGCTGAACATGGTGCTATGTACCGCGCAGTATTTAAAATTATATCACGCTTAACATAGGTACAGCTACAATGTACATACCTGTTGATCCTACTGTTTTTGTTCTGAAAATCCCAGATTCTTTCAAGTTATTGATTTTATATCTATAGATATATCTATTGTTGTATCTATATTTTCTGCATTGTACGCTTTATTTATGCATTTTTAGAAAGTATTTCATTTATTCTTACTGTATTCCGTCCACTGTTGCGCAAACTAGTACTGTGATAGTGTGATATTGAAAGTTTGCTCATCAGAGTTATCATCGCTATGGGTGCGAGGGTCGATCCTTACATCGTGAAACGCGTGCACGAGCTCAAACGTTTGGGAAAGCGTCATTACGATATCGGACTTGAATTTGGTCACTGCATGAGCTGGGTACACAAAGTGCTGAGTAATTATCTCCCCGACGGCAGCAGGAAACCCACGAAAGGAACCAGAAAACCACAGCAACGAAAAACCACAGCAGCGCAGGATCGCAAAATTATCAGTCTCGTAACTCAGAATCGGACAATTACTCACTCCGATATCTTGAAGATCCTGCAGAAAGATCCCGAGCCTGTACTTGTGGGGAAAAGCACAATCGGTAGAAGAATTCGAGCTGCAGGATTTCATAAAACCACCTGTGTGCAGGACGAGCTTTCGCCACAAGCCAAAAATAAGCGAATAGATTTCTGTCATCATCATCGTGTAGCTGTTCGCAAAAATCCGAAGCACTTCTGGTTTTGGCTTTTCTCTGACGAGTCAACGTTTCGCCTTGTAGGAAACAAAGTGCAGGTACAGAAAAAAAACAAAATAAGTGCAGCAAAATATTTCAGTTATTCTATACACGCACGTAAAAAGATGTTTAAAAACGTGCACGAACATCTGCAGATATGGCGTCGTAAGGGGGAGTCGAAATATCAAGACAACTTGCAAGTCCCTGTTGGAAATAATCGGATGATTGGGATAATGTATTGGGGACTAATATCCATAGCAGGTCCGATGTGCTTAGTCGAGATTCCTGGCAGAATGAACGCGGGAAGCTACGTTGAAGTTCTTCGAAAAGAACTGTTGCCCGTATTAGACCAGATTGGGAGAGATAATGTTTTCATGCAAGACGGTGCGCGACCGCATACTGCAGCGACTACGATGGCGTTTCTCAAGAAAGAAAAGGTTCGCGTTCCTACCTGGCCGCCAAAGTCGCCTGATCTCAACCCTATAGAGCACATTTGGGGAATTATGAAGGATCACATCAATAAACATCATTCCCCACGTAACAAAGATGAGCTTCGTGCATGCGTTCAAGAAGCGTGGGAGCACGTCAAAAAGGAAATTGAATTCGAAAATCTTTATGACAGTTTGCCAGACCGACTTGAAGCAGTCATAAAAAATCACGGTGCTCGAATTTGTACAAAAAGGAATTTTTTTAAAAACCGGTGAAAACTTAAAAGAGAAAGTACTGACGATGAATTTGAATAAAGTTAAATAAAGTACGTAATTTTAAGTGTACATGTATGTACCTGTGATTGGCATGCAATCTTAAATAATGCGCGGTACATAATACCATGTTTAGCCACAACGTAAAACTCCAGCCGGCTGACGGCAGCAAGTACAGGAGTGCTGGCCCCAGCAGGTTAATTCCCCCTATATCATCTGTACGAGTACAGTTTTCACATGAGCTTGTAGACAAGTTTTCCGGCTTCCGGAACTGCCAAGTTGGCAGGGGATAAAAGGTGGCAGTGGCAGTGGCAGTTGCCACTGCGCGTTCTGGCAAGCGATAAAACGTGGCAGTTATCGGAATCTTGAATGACATTTGCTGCACGGAAGAGCTCATTTGTTGTAAAATAATTACATTTTTATATAGGTATCCTTTGTAACAAAATATTTAGTATTTCAGAAATTGTGATTCGTCCTATCAGATCTATCTTAGCGCGGATCATGCGCTGGCGCAGCAATAAAGTCCCGACGAATAAGCTTTACGCAGGCGCACCGCACGACCTATTGTCTGAAAGTGTATGAGGGTTTTTCGAAAATGATAGAGACGGCAGAGCCTTCGTTCGTTTTCTTCGTTGTCAGAAGACACAGAAGCAGAGCTGGGGAAATCAGGGCAAACAAGCCTTTATTGTGAAACAATAAAGCAACCACAAAAAAAAACAGAAAACCAATGCGGTCTGAAGCTGTGGAAAAGTAGCTGCCATCGAGCTCGTCAGAAATCGTGACAATGAACAGCGTGCTGCAGCTATGCAACAGCTGAGGCCTGCTGCAGCTATGCAACAGCTGAGGCCGCAAAGCATGGAATCGCTCGTAGGCGCTGAGCTACGCCCCCTAGAGTGCAGCAATGCGCTGATTGGTCCGCGTAGACTAAGTATACGCTGAGTAATCAGAGTAATATAGCGGCACGAATGGCGTGGCCATCTGCGTGCGGGCGACAGAGCAAGTCACAAGAGGTGTCTACCGCCTCGAGTGACCGGTCTCTGACATCGTTTTCCCTTAAATTTTAATAAATGCAGAAAACAGAACGACAGTTCTGTAAAAAACTTTTTCTCTACATTGTGAACCGTGTAAGCATTGGAGAAACCCACGCAACCGTTTGGAAGAAAAAGAAAAGGAAAATGTCGGCTTGCGTTCCTCGTACATTTTCTTATGCTTGGCAGCCAGTAGCGGATGGGTTTGACCCCAAAGCTTCACAAAGATATGCTCTTCGGCCCTCACTGATTGTCTGGCATGTAAAAGTGTATGAGGAATACAAGAGGACATTTTTTGTCCTCTAAACGCGACATGAGTTTCTCAGTTGCTTGTTGGTTACATAATATAGAGGAAAAAACTTCTTTACAAAACTATAGTTTCATTTTCTGAAGTTTGAGGGAAACTTATTTTATGGAAACTTAAAGGAAACTTATTTTACTGAAACAGAAACTTAAAATTAAAAAAAAACTGAAAAACCTAAAGGAAACGTAATTTACTGAAACTTAAAATGAAAACGAACGGAGACAATTTTTTCTCTGCCGTCCCACGATAATAATGCCGCACGAATGCTCAAACATCGGGAGTGACCGATTCGCGACCTAATTATGAGTTGCGAGTTGAAGTTGCCACTGCCGGTGGCAGTTGCCAGTGGCAGGTGCCACTGCCACCTTTCATCCCCTGCCGCAAGGGCAGCGGAGTCGCCGGACACAGTACCCCTAACCACAGCCGAACTTAAACGCTGTCTCAAAAAAGGCAGTGGAACTAGATTCTCTTGTCGGAAGCACCATGAAGGCTAAGAGAAAGGGGTGGCAACAGTTAAGGGGAGTAAAGGGGTGTCACTAACCATATCCTAAATACCAACCTTGTTATTTATACTTTTGGTTTTGCAGCCCGAGCCGGTAAAACCAAACATTAATGATCTGCCTTTCTTCAGGTGGAGATTTGGCGTCGCTCTTGGGAAGCTCTAAAAGCAAAGAATATCAACTCGACCAGTTGGAAGCCTTGTGCTATGTTACGCAGATTATTGATGGTATCCAATACTTACATGACAAAAAGATCATCCATGGAGATTTGAAGCCGGGCAACATTCTTCTAAACAATGTAAAGCCAGAAAAACACCATCACAGCTTACTGATAGGTGATCTGGACGACCTTATTCCGATGCAGCAGAGCATCAGTAATCCGAGTGACTTTCCCACCGTTCACGGAAGTTTTCGCTACACGTCTCCAGAATGTCTCAAGAAAATGGGCTCACAGGAATGTGATAATCTTGGGAGAAAATCGGACATTTGGAGCATTGGATGTATTATCCACGATCTCGCCAACTGTTGTTTTGATGTGCCAGACAAAATCCTTGTTAAAAAGGGAAGTCCACCACTGTTCACTAATGGTCTTAGTGACTACGTTTTTGCAATGAGAATAGTGGACGGCTACGTCCCTGAGACTGATGATAGAATTTTCACATCGTTTAAAGAGATGATTAAACGTTGTTTAGAAGTAGATAGCAGAAAGAGGCCTTCTGCAACCGAGTTGATGCGTCTACTCTTAAGAGAATTACGCGAACTTGGCGTTAGCCAGCACGAAGGTGCGGTGCAATGCAGTGTCTGCGGAATGTTAAACGCTCAAAGTAACCAGAGTGCAGGTGGGTCTTACGAAGAAGAAATCTTTTGATATATTTTCCAGAACCTTTTCTCTTAAAACTGTGCTGATAAAATGAATATACTTAATTCAGTTAAAAAATGAATTCCATCAAAATCGATCTGATTGTTACTCCTGTTGCAACGCAATAAAACCCCTCGTTAAACGCTGACAGAATTGTTCTTGATAGGTTACAAGATCATACAGTTAGTATTATAAGAAAAACGAGGTACCTGACTATTTCGGTGTAATGAAATCCCGGTGTGGTTATGTACAAAATTCTAATGGGTAGATATTGCGCTTTGTCACAATCAAAATGAACTGCTTTCAGCTTTCTTTTGTGACGAATTAATAAATTTATTATAATCATTTTTTTTAAATTAAAGCTGCAGGTAGTGTGCAGTTAAGCACAGTGCTTACTGTAGTGACTGCAATACCTGAATATTATTTGCAATGAATTAAGTAATATATATGGGTGGAGACTATAGGCACCCCTTTCACCCCCGTTTGCTATAGGCACCCCCTTTTGCACCCTGTTTTACTATAGGCACCCCTTTTCCATTAGTTAATTCTCGCACCCCGTTTTTTCCGCGGACTATAGGCACCCATTTTTAAATTTTTTTCCCAGAAGACTGACAACAATGTTTTGACAGTTTTATTGTTTCACAAAATTTTTTGACGATCTTACATTCTGACATAATTTAGGTCACGCATTCAAAAAAGAAAGGTATGTTAGGCACTCCATCCTACAATTGGCCGGTTTGGCTGATCGGCCAGCATAGACCGAATGCGCAGGGCTTCTTCCACGCGCACGACAATATCGCCCTTTTGGATGGTTTGCTCGTTCGCTCATTGTTTCCGTCCGACGCGTTTTGGGCATCTTAGCAGGATTTCAGTTTCTAGAATCTCTACTAGCCTTGCACGGTGGGTGGCAGCTTTTGTGAAAATTGCGTTCTCTGGCCTGTGCCCTTGCAATTTCACTCTGCCAAGCGCAGACCATTGGCCCGCATTGATTCGTGCCAGGCAACTGGCGCTGCACAACCGGAAGCCTAATGTTCACATCACGCGTTTCGCGTCCGTAGAGCATGGATAACTGAAGGAGGATATGTTCCGGAAGCGCGGCGTCCAGGCTGTTGTATACGGGGACGAACGGGTGACCTTGTCGCTTATATGACAAAACAAAATGATGTTTTCCGAATTCGAATCTGCTTGAAAGCAGATTCGAATTCGGAAAACGCCGGGTAATTGTCCTTCAGGTCGCTTTCTTCTTCGGTAGTGGTTGGGTAAACCAGGTCATTGTCAGATCCTGGATTATCTTCGGATGGGCTACTTGTTACAGAACTGTCAGACATTAACATTACAGAGCCGTTACTCCTGCAGCAACTCACATAATATAATAATTATTACAAAAGAATAGGTAAAAAATCCGGAGCCGGTGGTAAAATGACTTTCTGAAAATTCTCTAAGGTCAACAAAATTCGACCTTAAAACATAGCAACGGACAACAGGGGGTGCCTATAGCTTTCGCACACGACGGGGTGCCTATAGTCTAAGTGGGTGCGACAGGGGGTGCCTATAGATAACGGGGGTGAAAGGGGGTGCCTATAGCCATTTCCAATAAATATACTGTAGATTTCAACAATTAAAAACAACTTATTCAGTAATCTCCGCAATGGTTTCATAGAATGTTCAGAAAGAGAGATCGACATCAATTCCACCGACGACAACCGTACAGAAGATGCGGTGGACCATCTGACACCGTTGAATGTGACAGTACTCCGGGAAAGTGTCAGGAATGTCCAGGAGATGCCCGCTCAATCGCCAACCGATAATGCAACTGGTAAGAGTAGTCCAATTGCTGCGACCGCAACAGGTTGCGACTGGTGCATTTACTGGGTTTATAATCGGTGAGTTATTAGCGTTTGAGAGAATGTTATCGTTTGAGAGGGTTATCGTTGAGAGAGAGAGAGAGGGGGTTATCGTTTGAGAGAATGTTTGAGTTGGGACAATGATTTACAGTTGGCTCGGCTTGACATAATAAGACAGAGATGAACCAAGGACAGTATATAACGGGTACAGGACGCGCGTCTCAATATACACTGCGTGGACAATCTCTCGATTGTGTAGCGGCAGGTACGGGATAAGATACAGGAATACTGGGATTTAAAATAATTTCGGATTTGTGTATATAAAAGGAATAATAATAGTAGGGGAAAGAATTTTGTGAGTGTATGAAGGACATGAGAGGTTGTGGGTGTTTCTTTACTACAGTCGAGACCTTGAAAATTGCGCGTTTAGTCTGTAACTTTCCATAGGTTTACACAGTTATTTTTGGTGGTAGTAATTTGTGTAGTTAAGAAAGTTGATTGCTTAATGGAGCGAAGTGCTCAGCGAACTATTATGTTTTGCACTGATAGTCTTGGATGTGTAGTAACAGGTGGTTTGTATATGGGATGTAGGCTGGGACGTACATTAAAAGGTTGTTCGAGAGAATGTTTGATTTAATTGGTTTATTGACTGGATTTTTTGAGTTCGGTGAGTATATTAGAAGTTGAGGAACGTTGTGTTTAAGTTATTATGGATTTTACGAAGTATATGCAGTGAGGAGAATGTTTTTCTTGTTGGTTATTTTCTGGTGGCCGGTTTAGATTTTCGGAAGCGTACTGATTCAGGTTGCGTGTTTTGTTTGGCTTTGGTCTTTTTAGGTTGAGTATAGTTTAGTAAGTTTTCTTTCATAGTTTCTTTTGAGTATTGTTTTTTTAATAAAATAATGGAAACTGGTTGTGATCGCAAGAAATACAAGCGTGAGCATGTGCGTGATTATAGAGAAAAAACCGCAAAACGGAAACTGATGGTAATTGTAGCAAGGAAGATAATGAAGTAGTAATGATGTTAGACATGAAAATGTGAAGTTAAGAAACAAAAATGTAAACTTAACAGGGTCAGCAAAACACAACAATTCAGGACAAAATCGTAAAGTAATGCTTAAGAAAAGATCCGGACAACCATTACACATTACCATACTTCGCAATTGTCGTTTAGCACGTTCTTTTTACAAAAATTGTCCAATAACTGTCCAAAAATTCTCCAATAATTTTTTTCCAAACATACCAGAAAACGCACCACCTTTAGTATTCCGATTACATTTTCGTTTTTTAACTTTTACATTCTCATATCTAACATCATCACCACTTCCCACATTATCTTCCCTGCTACAATTACCATCAGTTTCGATTTTGCATTTCTTTCTTTAATCACGATATACTCACGCGTGTATTTCTTACAATCACAACCACCTTCCATTATTTTATTAAGAAAAGAATTCTTAAACGAAAATAATGTATAAAAGAAAACTTACTGAACCATACTCAACCTAAAAAGACTTACCAAAGCCAAACAAAAGACAGCAACCTGAATCAGTAAGTATCTACAAATCCACACCGGCCACCAAAAAATAACCAACAAGAAAAACATTTTGCTCACTCCATATACTTCGTTCAGTCCATAATAACTCAAACACAAGATTCCTCAACTTCTTATATACCGACCGAACTAAAAAAATCCAGTCAAGAAACCAATTAAAATATACATTTTCTCGAACAACCTTTTAATATACCTACTAACCTACTTCCCATATACAAACCACCTGTTGCTACACATCCAAGACTATCAGAGCAAAACATAATAGTCTGCTCCATTAAGCAATCAACTTTCTCGAAATTTCTTGAATTTTCCACAATAATCCATCACTATCTACAACCCGCAACACACTCCACTTCCTGTAACACTTTATTAAACACTCAAATACGAACAACCAGAAAGTCGAATATATTTATATCATACTACAGTAAAAATCCCTTTATCTTCACCCAAATTCAGTGTATAACCTTTCTTCGCTACACTGGATTAGTACACCCTTTCTTCATTTCGTCAAACATATCACCTTTAACATAATTTATTATTAAATTCTCTATTCAGCACTTTACATTCCTACCCCTTATAATTTCCACATACAATATACTCCTGCAATGTACTCCTACATTATGTAGGAGCACATTGCAATATGCTCCTACATATGTAGGAGCACATTGCAATGTGCTTCTACATATGTAGTAGCACATATATATAGGAGCACATTGCAATGTGCTCATACTTATGTAGGAGCACATTGCAGGAGCATATTGGATTATGTTTGTTTGGGTACTAAAATTCCGTTTTTCTCCTCCTAGAACCGATGAAACCGATGCAGTGTGCTCCTGCATAATGTACGAGCACATTGCAAGGTGCTCCTACATAATGTAGGAGCACATAATGTAACCTAAAAAAGATGCCGAGCCAACAACGCCATCTACAAGTTTCACGCATCGTTACTCGACTCATGTCACATGACTGTTAGGCCCCACCGCTTCCTTCAACCGGCCGGACCCTTCCGTACTCTACGGGCGCCAAAATTACTTTTGTTTACACGGATATCGAAGACCAAAAACCGAAACTACAGTTTCATATATGCTACGACTGATTCTAGTCGTATACCGCATATAAGAACCTGTCTCGGTTCAATGAACCTGCCGCAAAAATTTGTGGGCACGGCAGGCCGCCTTAACGTCCTGCCACATGCCAATGAACATCTTGCCCGCTACTTTTCCCGCCTCAGCTGGTCACTCTTGTTGCACAGACAGACAATGCGGGCCGGCGCATGCCGTACGAGTGCTACTTTTTAGAAAATTGTTGTTGTTAACACGTTGCGTTTTGGAGATATTGGTTGTGGCCATAAAACAGTGCAGAAAAGCCGCTTTCGAATGATGTGCGATAGGAAAAAATAATTGCTACCACTGACTAACAAACGCGATATTAGCCACCATCGTACGCTAAACTCTAGCCATCTTTTAGCGTACGAAACTGGCTAATACCGCGTCTGTTAATTAGTGGTTGCAGTTATTGAAACTTTTTTCACATCATTCGAAAGCAGTCTTTCTATACTGCTTTATGGCCACAAAGATTATCTCCTAAAAGTAACGTGTCAAAAACAACAATTTTTGAAACGTTGCACTCTTGGTGCGCGGCGGCCCGCATTGTTGGTCTGTGCATACGAGTGACCAGGTCAGGCAGAAAAAGTAGCGGGCAGCCTGCCTATTCGCCGGCCTCCGGCCGCTAGGGTGGGCACATCGAGAACAATAGTCGCGCGTCCTGTACACGTTATATACTGTCCTTGGTTGAACCCTACGACTCAGAAAACTTAAAATGCGTAAAGCATCCTAAGAAACAAACCATGAAACACATGAATCACTTGAAACACGTAAAACGCATGAAACACATGAAACACATGCATAACATGAAACGCATGAAATACATGAAACACATGAAAAACATAAGCAAGAAGGCGACGCCCATGAAACATGAAACGCGAAGCACGAAGAAGGAACGTAAGGAAGCCTAACAAGTAATAAGAACAGAAATCTGAAACAGTGAAACATCGAAACACTGAACCTTGCATAATAAGACATTTAAGTGATGAAACCCGAAACATGAAACGGGAAACGCGAAGTTAAAACCTAACAAACCAAACAAGAAAGGAAACATGAAACAATGAATCGAAACCTACAAATAGGTCATGAATATGACGAGCCGTTCGTGCAAAAAGGTTTTATGTATGTTATGTTACTAATGATATCTCTATATAATAATTGCGTAAGCCATAATCTTTGTTGAGTCCGTCAGCTCGCCGCCCTGATCCAAACTGATCTGGCTATGCATCATTCGATAGCCCTTTACGTGTAGATTTGCCACCACAAATCAGTTTTTGGAGAAAAAGTTGCATTTGAAAGAAAACTTTTAAAAACTTCAGTATACAAAGTCTATGGGAAAAGCCAAGAACCCACCACTGCTAAACTGACCAACCCACCACTGTCTCAACATGGCACCAAACATTTTTCGCGATTCCGTCAGCTGGATCATGGATGGAATTTTGTGTTCCATAACAGATAATATGCCACCGTACTACGTTAAACGTTTGTACATTTCTTATCGCAATTTGTTTTAAGAAAGAAAATAAAGCTACAAACTGACAAGATTCTGCGAAGGTGGAACGGTTCGAAAATCTGTTTTCAAGTAGCTGCCTCTGTAGTGGTGATAGGCAGTCGCACAGTGCGCTAAAATCTTAAGAAGATTTAATAATGCAGCCGGTGTAGATCAGTGGTAAGACGGACGCTACAGACGCAGCTGGCACGGGTTCGAGTCCCGTCATCGGCAGATTTTTATTTCTTCAGTATCTTCAGTAAATTCAGAAATTCATATTTAAATTTCATTTATAGAATCAGCAGTGCTCTCCTGTCGCAGGCGTCCGCCCTTCTAAGATGGTAGCAGATCCGTTGGTTCCCCCCTCCGGGTGTATTTAAAGTACAGCAATAGGCTTGGCTCCACACGCACCGTGTAAGAAAACGGATAGGCGCATTTAGGGGCGGGGGGGTTGTCTTTCTTGCTGAATTGTTGCAAATAAATTTTGTGAAAGGAAAGGAGAATTTTTTAAATTTGTTGTTTTCAGTAAAAGCGCAGTTCGAGAAAGGGCAAATAAGGCAACTTGAAATCGTTAAAGTTTGCTTGAAAGTACAGCGTCCTGTTTCATCCGCATGTCTTGTTGGGAGTGTACTTATACAACTTCTACGTAATCTGCTGCATGCGCATTGCCCACCACGGTGCAGCAGAATCCAAAATATGTTCGTTTTAAAGTTAAATGTGGCGCGAATTGCATGATCCATTAAATAAGGTGGAATCCTTCATTATCATTAAGTAACAAGGGATTAGGGAAAAGTCGACCTTTGTCTCTTCGTTATAATTATAGCGTATTAGGAGGCGGAGCTGCGGCGCGAGCGGAGCTCGCGGAGGAGTAAACGAGGCATGCATCCGATTTCTGGGTAAGAACACATACTTTCTATACATACTATATACGATAATTTTCAGTGTATCAAGCGGTCGAAAATAAATGACGTTACGGGTTTCTTTATGTTTAATTGTACTCGCGCAGAATCATTAAATTTTAAAAATACAAACTTGATATCGCCTAAATTTATGTTCAGCCTTCTGCCTAATACTATTAAATTTTAGTAGGTGTTTAATTTCGTAACAAATAAATGCAAAAACGTTAGTACAGCAAATATCACAGTTTTACGTTTTCCGGTAAATTGTTAACTATCGGAAAGGTGCCGGTGGCCACTGGGTGCTGTTAGTGGCACGGTGCCCGTTTGTTTATGACACGGCGCTGTCGGCGAAACTCTCGGTACCACCTTTGTCGGCAGTGGTTGTCTCGGCACCACTAATTAACGAAGTGCTCAGCACTTCGTTAATCCGGAGTTCTCGCTTCCAGTTGATCGCAGCACTTAGTGCTGCGATCAACTGGAAGCGAGAACTCCGGAATTTTGTTTCCGCCCGTGGTGCAGCAAAGGAATGACAATAATTGTGTACTTTTCGCGATCGCATTCCCATCGGAACTCATTAACAAAACAAATCCCGAAAATACCAGGTTTAATGACCAACAAATGAGGCCGCATGTTAGCGATGCGTTAAGCGGCAACAAACTTCGCTTGACGATTTTCCCTGCCGGTGGTGGCTGGGGCAAAATAGAAAAACGGCCGAGAGAAAATTGCTGGTGACTGTTATAAGATTAAATAACAGGGGTATGACAATAGCCAAAAGGGTGTGTGGTAAGGAGTGATAAGTGTCTAAGCGGCGTTTATTTATTAAGAAAAGGGGGTGACAATAGTTAAAAGGGGTGCAGGGTGGTGACACTTTAATTCTTACGATAAATGTGACATTTTAATTTGCTTGCATGTTTGTCGAGGTTATGCTTCTTCCATAAAACCCATACAGTACTTACCATTCTCACTTGCACAGAGTTGCACTCATGGGTTTTGATTTTTGTACGGGTTATGATCTGGCCATTGCAATAACTATTCCGCGCAATTTGCGCGGGGTCAGCTAGTGTTTGTTATGATCGCCATGTTACTCATGTTACGTTTGTTATGTACGTTTGTTAGCCGCAGGGCATAAGCCATTACTTTTGATCCAAATAAATCAGAATATTTTAATAATTTTTTTTATTTTCTATCACTAACTCTTGCGCCAAAACGTCTGATTAGAAATAATTTGAAATCAAGCATAAAATAGTATCATGTATACAAGAACATAGATAACAAACGCCACATAAGTAACATAACATACATAAGAAGCGTAACATAAGAACATGACATACATAAACCTTTTTGCCCGAACCGCTCGTCAAACATGAAACACGATACGTTTCATGTTTCATTGTTTCCCGAATATTATTTCATTTTTCAGTGTTTTATGTTTTATTGTTCAACTAATCCATATTTACTATTGCTTAGTGTTTGCTGTTTCTTTTTTCATGACCCATACTCATGTTATATGTTTATTTGGTTTTTGCTGTCCAGCTGAGAGCTCGGTTTTTGCAATTATAAAAAAGCGTTGTCCCAACTTGCAGATTCTATGGCTCGTTTGGCCTACCGCAACCGCGAAATGTTTCCCCGAAATGGGTCAGAGAGAAAGTGGCGGAGAGAGAGAGGAAGAAAGGTGGAAGAAAGCGAAAGAGACCGCGGCAAAAGCCGCAAAGAATTTCAGTGTGAACCTGGAGCCGGATAGTTTTTCTGAGGCTTTACATAAATTTCGCCGCAAGTTGGTTTCCATTCATCCTGATAGGCATCCCAACGCAACCGAAGCGGTCAAAGCGCAACTTACGACCGAAACACAAGCTCTTATAGCCAATTGGCAGATTGTGCGCGAATATTTCTTTGCGAAGGATGCCAGCCAACTGGAAGACGAAATTCAGACGAAGACGAAAGACATTCGCGCATTGAGACCAGGTTGATCTACCTGTAGTTCATGTCCTGCACATAGTAAACCGTTCAGTAAATGAGTAAACTATCCTATCTGCCTCGGTGTCTACGTGCATGATCACACTACATATTATTTGGAACCCATTAACATATTACTTGTCCCATTTTATCATTTCCTTGCTTAGAATTTCCGCAGTTTCGTTTTGATAATTCGTTGCGTTACGAGGTTTGCCGCACCCGGCCGACGTCGTAAGCGCATGCAAGTAAAGTTTCTAAGGGTAAACTGTAGTTGTATATGATATTAGTATTCTCCTGTGTGTTGTTCCTGTTTTTAATAAAACGTTTCGTTTGATCTGCTAGTACACGTGTTCGTGCTTTGCTGCCTCTATACGCGGAAGCAAATCCAACAACAAAATTATTTTTGAACTGTAAATAATCACGAGCACTATCTGGTGATTTGTGCAAACACCCGTAACCGGGTCTAACGAGAGCACCGTTGGTGAGAAGGTCGTCAGCAAGTTATCGATAGGTTCAGCAAATCAAATAGTCGGCGTGCCATATAAGGCACCCGTGCACACCGCACTAGTGAATATCCATTGAGTATTCTTGCAGTCCAATACTAGCCTACACAGGCCGTCCCTTGCATTAGCATTGTTATAGTGGGCAATGCGCACACTGTTTACTGAATAAAGGTTACTCTCATACGGGCTCGTTTCCCAGTCGCCGCACATATGTAACATACAAAGGTCACCGTCGACCTGCACAGGTGTGACAACAGGTGCACAAAAGAACTCAGTATTGGGACAGCCGTGGCGGGCCATTACCACCGGCCATTCCCCCTTCCAGGGTTGCATCGTGCGGAGGGGGACGCCACTTCTTTTGAAGCAGATCTTCGGGCGCTGTCACCCGGTAGAGCTAACTGCGCTAACTAACCTCTGTCGATGCTGCGCATTCTCTGGTTGCGCCACCAACCTCGCGTTCATCCCGACACCACCAGCGTCTTGGACCGTGAAGGGCGCAGCGGTCTCCAGCGGCGCGTATTGCTGTGGAACATCTTCTGTTGGTCACCGCGATGCACAGCGTGACCTCTTTGCTGCAGCCGGCGGCAGTCTTCCTCTTCTCGAATTCCAACCGACATCCTATCGTGTCGCTGACGCGTATTATGGGCCAACTGTCCCAGAAGTCGGTTTCATCATCACATCAGCCGTGACCTTTGCTGTGATTAATTAGTTTGCTCGTTAATTGCTGATTGACATGCAGATTGCGCTGAGCAAAGATGGCTTTACGGAGATTGCGGAGGTGCTGATGCAGCGTCCGTATCCGGCGGCTAAAAAGTCGTCCGCAAAATAACGACTTTAAATCAGCAACTTTTACACTTTAAAATAACCAAACCGAGTTCAGACTTCTAACTTATGTAGTGAAACTATCTTAGTGTTTGGCGCATTGCATTGTTATCATGCAGCGCAAAGACACGCATTGCGCCAGCGAGAACAGTGAAAAGAGGTCAAAATCGGTAGAATCTCTACTTAATTCAGCTGACGACTAGGAGCATCTTTAATCAAAATAATTTTATTTAAGGCCTGTATTGGCTGTTAGGCTTACGCGTACTTGTCACTGGCACCGTCTACCTACGTTTATCTGTACAGCAGATGGCTATTGCCTGACATCTTTACAAATTTGGAAGTATTTCCGTCTTTGAAGGGTTAATCTCAGTTCTGATATTCTGATAGCTACTTCTATAAATAGTTGTATGAAAAGGAAACGTACTTGCGATACTTGCAGTTATTTATCATCCATATCCGCAGAGCGGAGCATGGCAGTACGACAAATTTGAACAAATTAAACATTAACAGTTGACCGCACATGTAGTGCTATGGAAGGATTCCACTACTGCTGAGCGCACAGGAAGTGGCACGCGCACCTGTACGTATGTAAATAACGCTTTTATACTGCTTAGTAAGACTCGAATCGGTGCCGAACGTGCGTGAGCACGGGCAGTACATAACGTATAATATTATTTCCTTAGTTAGACTAACTGGACCACGTAACTGGATGTAAGTCAGTACATACACTCTTATTCTTGACCAACGCGCATTCCTGACATACGTGGTGCATTGTGGTGAAATTACCACCCTAAATGAAGCTTGTCTTTTACGAACATTTATTGCTTTGGACAGATACTGTAAGCACCAAGGTCTGTGCTTCGCTATCATGGACACCGATGGCGCCGCCGACAGCGAAGAATCGTATGGGAAAAACTGCCAATACACTTACGATGTCAAACACCTCCACGGGAAGGGAGCCTTTGGTGCTGCTACAAGGCATCGATTACGCATCACGGTGATGCTGCAGAAATACAAGGAGATGTTGCCGTTAAACTTAGCCAGTTTCGAAAGCCGCGCAGCCATTAAGCGATCAGGAAAACTGGGCAAAACGTCGTGCGAGATGGCAAAAATTAATTCAGCTGAAACATGAGCGATTGTTGACGTACCATAAAATTTCCATATTCCATTCCGCAAGAGGAGCAAGCGCCGAATATTTAATGGACTATAGAATTGGTATGTTGTGATTAAGCGAGTTGTTATCAGTTGGCTAACGTCTGATAATCTGTTATTTTTTCTGCAAAATCTTTACATCAGTTTTTAAAGATTTTTCCAGTGTCCAGAAGTTCCTATAGAAGTATACTTCTTAAACCATGACGGTTACCAAGCTACGGTACGGCGAATAAAAAAAAATAAATAAAGGTTAATGACTTGTCGCACAACGAACGAGTAGACGTACATTCAAACAGGTTACACAAATATTAATGACTGGTCTCCCTTCAGATAGTGACTTGACGTCGCTGTTGTGTACCTACAGAGACAACAAATGTCATCTCGATCAGATGGAAGCCTTATGCTGTGCTATGCAAATTATTGATGGGGTGCAATACTTACATGGCAAAAGATGATCCCTGGAGATTTGAGCCCAGCAACATTCTAGTAAACAAAAAAAAAACCCTACTCCAGCTTACTTATCGGTGACCTTGACGATCTAATACCGATGCAGGAGAGCATCAGTAACGCTCGAGACTTTCCAAGCGATGTCCCCTTGATCGATGATAAAATTGCGACACCCTTCAAAAAGATAATTACACGTTGCTTAGAGGTGGATAGCAGAGACAGGCCAGCGGCAGCAGAGTTAATGCGCCTACTCATGAGAAAACGAAAACTAAGCGAACATAGCGACGACGCCGACGGCCAGCAGTCTAGATATGGACGACTTCGTACACGTTAAATTTTTCGAGGCAAGTATTTTGTTTGCATCCACAGTATCCCGCCGTATCCCACGGTATCCTCTACGTATCCCTTATGTATCCTTTCAGTTTTAGTAACTCTGTTCGATTGTTGCCGTATCCCTCCGCATCTCTGCAGTATCCTCTATGTATCCCACATGAACCCCGTTAAAAAACCTAAGAAAACCTAAGAAATCTAAGAAAACGTAATAACGGGATACATGGAGGATGCGCAAAGGATACTGTGGGATACGCTAATTAAAAAGAATGACCACATTAACAATATTTGCAATACGTGCAGAATAGACACTAAGCGATGTGGCCAGTATCCCAGCGTATCCCACAGTATCCTTTACGCATGCATGCTGAATGCTGAATGCAGGTTTAAAGGCCATCAGTAACTGCAGTATCCCAACGTATCTTAACGTATCCTTACTGTATCCGTTGAGTATCCGGATATACTGCAGAGATACGGCGGGATACTGCAGTAACTAAAACTAAGTAGAAAATTTGAGATACATGAAGGATACGCAGGGATACTGTGGAATACAACTAAAAACACATGCCGGAAAAAATTTAACGTGTACTAACCGTGCCATAGGGGAGCAGTCGGCCGACGACGGCATGCTCTGCAATGCAAGGTTTGCGGAACGTCAGCCGCAAAGCTTAACAGAATGGAAAGCAAATTTTAGGAATAAAAAACTAGTATGTATACAATCTGTAACCCTTTATCTAGCTTGTGTTGGCACACTTACGTGTGGTGGCGACTGTCCGTAGTGTGTACTTACTTAAAGTTCGACGCATCCAGTGAACCAACAGTATTTGTGGCTGACGCTGAGGGAAAGTTGGTGCTTCTGTCGCTCAATCGCTCGTCGAATTTCCTGTCTTGGCTAGGTCGATCGACAATCTCCTGTCTTGGCTGGGCGTTTTTGCTCTTCGTTCGCTTTAGAACGTTTTATCATTCTGATTTGGGCGTTTTATCATCCTGGTTTGGCCGGATGCTTTTTCGCATATATTGAGGTAATCCGTGGTTTGTCCATGTCGCGTTCATTGTTTATGTGGCTCGAATACGACGCCGTTTCCCGGAAAAAAATAACCTTCTTAGATATACCTGAGTGGGCTTGATTTACCGAAGATACGAGTACTGCAATCATGGCTGATGGGGTCCGCTCTGTACCCTTAAGCGATTTTCCAGCCAGATGACAGCCACCGTTGCTTATGCAACCACACCTCCTGCGGCTTCCGGAATTCATCCCTACGGCTGCCTTATATGCAAGGATCCTTTTCACTGCGCCAGCTTTGCCCACAGCGAGCGAGGGTGAGCGTACGGGGGTGCGTACTAATTCCGGCAGCCCTTTTTTTCTCAGCCCGAGCTCCTCCCCTACACAAAACCCCGCAACTCCGCAGCCGATATCGCGCAGTCCTCGCCCTGTCATCCTTTGGGACTACAACAATGGCCGTTGAGTGATGCCATGCCCGCAACGCCGGATCCACATCTGCGAGCAATGTTACGATGCCGCACACGTTCGTGGTTTTCATAAGTTGAATTCCGTTCAGATTCCTGTTTCGTCACGCTTTCTTTATCGTCTGTGCCATGGTATCTCAACTTTTCTCATAATACTGCAGCAGTTCACTCAGACTGGCTATCACTCGCTAAATTTAATTAATAACCTAATTTGTCTTTGCAGTTATCCCGTTTTACCTCCGCGCGGTTGGGGCTTGCCTTTCGGTTTGGGGGTGTCCAGCGAGCCTTTTATCATAAAATGGGTGACCGACGGCGCCCTTCAGTGCGTCGTCTGGGCATTGCCCAGGCTGATCACTTGCCCCGGCATCCTCAGGCGGCAATGTTTCGGTCGTGAGCGAGCTCATAAGCGTTGATACAGTGTATATACCGGTAGATTAATTAATATTCGAGAGCCGATTTCTTGAAATTTATTCCAAAAAAATTTTAATAAAAATCAGATTTAAGACCATGACAAGGCCGACTAATAATTCATGTAGCGTCACATTGTTTTTACCCGTAAATAATCAGAAAATAACGATAAATCCATCTGATCGACATAGAGTCTGCTTCTGAACTTTGCACGGCGAAATTAAATCGATAATGTTGGCAGTCTCCTGATAATAGAGTACCAGCAATAAAAAGCGATGAAGAATACTGTTCTCAGAGCAGATTATAATAGCGTACTATTTTCTTGCTTGCTGGCATTTGTAAACACCGTAGTACGACACCTATCACGCACAAGCCCAGTATAATAAGAACTGCTAGAGTAATGAGGCTTTGACGATGCCTTTGATACAGAACCTTCGTAACGCTGCGTACAAGCTCAACAGGCTCCAAAAGTACTTCTCGCCACGTCTGCAACTTCCGCATTTGCTTGGATAGTTCCTCTCCAGAAATTCTAAGGTTAGCATTGGTGTGTAAACACTGTCGAATGCACGCAGCTATATCCTCTCTAATGGAATCAATGATTTCCGGCGTATATCCATCGATAATGTACCGTACATACTGATGCCCAGTTAACGCTGCATTGACCCTGACCCTATGGTTTTCCTTTTGCAGCCACTTTTCCTTGTAATCAACAGCGCCGTTGACCAGATCAACCATTATGCAACCAAAACTCCAAATGTCACTTTTCCTTCCCGGTAGCGCATTGTTTTGCGCTATGAATTTATTCACTATTTCCGGTGACATATAGCGTGGAGTTCCGCGCAGGTCCCTCACATCCTGGGAGACGGTAGTATCTCCATGCATCAGTACGTAATCATCCAAATCGCCGATCACCAACATTTGTTGATTCCACTGGGAAAGCTTCGTAAATATATTTGAAGGTTTCAAATCTCCGTGGATGACACGGTGATTATGCAAAAAGCTAATTCCATCCGCCATGTCAATTCCAAAACTCACCACGGTGGTCCAGTTTAGCTGTTTTCTTTGCTGAATATATTTTTCCAGATCGCCTAAAATGTCAGATTGGCCAACGTAATTCAAACTACAATTCTGGTAAGTTAACAACGTACCATTGCACCACTCCATTATCATTTCCAGGGCTGGCAGGCCGTTTGTCTTTGTTATCTCATATCTGTAGTACTCCAGCACGTTTCGATGTCGTAACGTTGTTAGTCTATTAAGCCGGGCACGAATCTCTTGTTCAGTTTCCCCTGCCGACTGACCACTCAGTCTGCAGATTTTGGACGCGATCGTGGTGGCGCCACGAAAAGCACGGGTCTTTTTGATCGTGACTTTAAAAACATTACCAAATGCGCCTCTTCCGATAAACTCCTTTTTCGTATACTTTAAACCGTTACAGAATAGTAAGGTTTCTGCTTCAATGGTACTCATTTATGAAACCTCACAAAAATGACAACTATGCTCACAAACTGTTTATATAACGTCAATATTAACAAAATGTGGAAACAAACATGTAAAATATGACAAAGCGACGACAGATGTAGGCAGCTGCGCGCGCACGTGGAAGTTTCTTATCACATCATCCAATATCGTTATCGTCAGCAATTCAGTATGGCTCATGTTATCAGGAACTAGGAAGCTTGATGATATTCGGGACTTTCGTGTGATAGGATAAATTATACTGCCTAGTAGAGAGCTGACCATGAGAGCGAGAGTATATTAGCGCGGTTAAACTCTATGCCGCAAGTGCGACCTGATTACAGCGGCTGCACTACTGCTCAATCAGTATGACTTTACAAGTACTAAATCAGTGATCACAACCAATACTTCGACTTTATCCGTCATTGTATCACTTATACTTTATGGTGCAGCTATCGGATCACTGCAACCCGCGCTATCACATCGAGAGATACGTAGCACGCTACATGGGGGGCTGGTGTTCGGTTAGCTTAACCACACAGTAAAAAGTGTGGTTCAGCTAAATGATTACCAACCGCCCAATGTGCCGCATTACATACTTGCTGATCTTGCGTGGGTTGCAGTGATCCGATAGCTGCACCGTAAAGTATAAGAGTGATCCAATGACGGATCAAATCGAAGTACTTCTAATCACTAGTTACTAGTACTAGGAGTCTAGTTAGTAAACGCATCTGTGTTAAAATGCAAGAAAACCTATGTTACTTACTTTACCTTTGCCGCCTCATTTGCTTCTGTTTTCTCGCTTTACGGTACTTGTTCTACTTCGCCTTTGCCTTTACGTTTGCCGCCGTGAAAATCGATTTCATCTTACACCGTCGAAAAACGTTTTAAAGTCTCATCCGATAGTTAACATTAAAAAGTAATACCAACGACACTTTGCCATTTACAGAGCGTAGACCAACCTAAAGTTGCTTTTTCTTAAGGTTAACTGTATCTCGAAACCCTTGTTATACGATATTACGGGTAGTTTAACACGGTAGTTGTTAGAAATTATATTACCAATATAATATACACTCATAATGTGTCATCTACTTGTGAACTATGATCATTGTCTTACTAGCTGATCTATGAGTGTACGGTGCACCCAGGTCACCAATCCCCTTGTTTATCAGATGTTTAGGTGCAGTAACTTACTAATATCGTGAATGTACCTAGTGCTATATAAGAAACCTGCTTGTATAACGTTGATGAACAGAACATAACAGAACAACACCAGTGTGTGCGACGCTTCCGGTTTCTGTTCCCGTGACTATAATAATCTCCTAATATAAATTCTAACAGATTATGAGACCTGCTTGTCTCTAAGCAGGAAGTTGTATCTGCCGTGTCTTACTAGTATAGTGGTTTGCTACTGTTACTGTTACGGACGCCAAGATGGCAACGTTGAAGGAGATAAAGGTCACGGTACTCAATGGCTCGAACTACGCTCGATGGAGAGTCGAAGTGGAGGACGTCTTAACTGGAGAAGGCGTGTGGAGCATTGTGGATGGAAGCAACAAGATACCAAGAGATGATCCAGCAGACGAAAAGAAGCATGCCGCTTATAATAAATGGATATCCGGAGACGGAAAAGCAAGAAGTATTCTGCGCGCAACGCTCGACGAGGTTACCTTCAATCAGGTACGCGACTGTGCAACGTCAGCAGAAATTTTGGATCGGATTAAAGAGTTAAGGGAGCCGAAAACTGGATGCGACTTAATGACCGCGATGACTGAGTTTTTCGGACTGAAGTGGAAGGATAACGACGACGTTAACACCTTCATGTCAACGCTGCACGTATTGGCATCGAAGATCGACGCCTGTGGGAAAGCCGTGAAAACCAGCGATGAGTGGCTGATTTCGAAAACACTGTCCAGCCTGCCAGTTGAATACGGACCCTTTGTGGCATCATGGAACATGATGGCCGGCCCCGACCCAAAGATGAGCGTCTTCCGTGAAAAGCTGATGTTAACAGAACAGATGATCAAGACCCAGGAAGAAAATCGTGGATATCCTAAAGTACCTTTTGGATCAGCCTATTCCAGCTATAACCAGAGAGAAAGAGAGAATCCGAACCGATCAAACCGATTCGACCGATCTAACCGATCCGACCGATCTAACCGATCCGACCATTTTAACCGATCTGACCATATGAACCGATCTGACCGATCTGACCGACCGACCGATCTAACCAATCAAACCGATCAAACCGACCAGTTCCAGTGTAACTACTGCGGAATGGAAGGACATACGACCAGACAGTGCCCAACCTGTCCTGCTTGTGCCAACTGTGGAATCGTTGGACATAAAGCCCAATATTGCCGACGTGAACGCGTGAGAGAATCAATGTAAAGATATCAAGGATCCGAATCAAGAACCTTTGGAACCAGTGTGCATTTCAGTGGATATGGCGCGCTGGGTGAAGGGGTGTTAGAAATTATATTACCAATATAATATACACTCATAATGTGTCATCTACTTGTGAACTATGATCATTGTCTTACTAGCTGATCTATGAGTGTACGGTGCACCCAGGTCACCAATCCCTTGTTTATCAGATGTTTAGGTGCAGTAACTTACTAATATCGTGAATGTACCTAGTGCTATATAAGAAACCTGCTTGTATAACGTTGATGAACAGAACATAACAGAACAACACCAGTGTGTGCGACGCTTCCGGTTTCTGTTCCCGTGACTATAATAATCTCCTAATATAAATTCTAACAGTAGTTCAGTTGTCGGAAAAATTATAATTATATGCTGCAAGTCTGCAGTCACACGTAAGTTGTCGACTATACAAGCGCATTGACGATTCATAGGTTTTTAAGGGTTGCGTTTCAGAATACCACTTTCCAAATTCAAGCATAATTATAACGGAAGACACATAATAGTATAATAGTATATGACACAGCAATTTCTGGCCTTGATTAGATAACGTTTTTGGCTGTTATTGCTCAGGGTTAAAATGTAATGTGTATGTGGAGTTTCTGATCCATGGCGGCATGCCGGCATGGCCACACTACGTAACACAATCGAATTATCTTAAACTGGTTCATAGGGGATACATGCATAATAGCGCTGCGCCGTTTACAAGATCTACTTATTTTCCCGGCTCTGCAACTTCAAGTTATCACCACAAATACCGTGTAAGAGCGCTCTAATCAGTAATCAGCAGGTTTTAAAACTGCTGAATATGTTGTTGCAAATTATTGACCACAGCCGCTAACGCCAGGCATACTACGAGTAATCATTATTATTATTTATGGCACAACTGCAGACAACCCCGAAGGAACTTCAAGTGTGGTCGAAGATGCCTCAATCCAGGATAGTGGATGCACTGTTACTTATTACTAGCGCACTCCATTTGGTTTTTGACTACTTTTCAGTACTACTGCGCAAAGCATTCATAAAAAATGTCGTCAACAAAGCCGCTGCGAAATTCTCATTTGGGGTGGATTGCGAATATGAACCCAAAGATTTTATTTCCGAAGGAGCTTATGGAAGCGTGTTCAGAGCATATATTATTCGCCGCGGAGATTTTATCGGAGAAAAAACGGTCGCCGTGAAATCAGTGAAACTTTATAAAATGCGACTTGCATTAGCAGAGCCAGATAGTTACATTAGGCTGCGCAGGGGATTAGACCAATTGCTAGAACTGCATCACGATAATGTGGTGAAGATTTACAAGATAAGTATCAGCTCGGATGACGCGAAAGTGCCCGCCGTGGAACTGATGATGGATTATTACTGTGGTGAGTACTCACATATCACGATTATTGTACAATGTACACCACAAATTTTATGCACAAGTGAAAACATAAAAGAGAGCGCCACACCAGATCTATTTTGCCACTTACTCGTAGAATGCAGACTCAGTGCACTAACTGATAATCATACTCATTGCACAGTAATCCAAGACAATCATTCAGTGTCGAATCAAGTTTCTATATTACGGGGAGGGTGCAGCGAACTTCAAAGAGTCATACTCTTTGAAGTTCGTAAATTTGTAATGTTATTTTATAAATAACCTTTCATAACCTTTTATAAAATATATATAAATAACCTTTTATTTTATATAAATAACCTTTTATATTTATAAACAATAGTTTTTAGGCCATTTTTGTTATTTCCTGCTTTAATATGTTAGTTAAACAATATCCTCAACTCCCTGCAAAGGGTTGCAGCTCCAGGGAGCTAACTAGCCGCCCTTGCGCCGTGATTGGTTACTGTCCTCTTCAAAGTTGCATCTACGATTTCCGTCGTATTGGGCTTTTGCTTAGAAACTCAAGAAATTCAACAAAAGGAAGCTACGTCTGTAGTTAAGATTTAGTCTCTATTATGGCTGCGTGCACGGGTAAACACGGCAGCTGGCCGCGTGCACGGGTGACCTTTGGAGTCCGCACCGACCGCACGGGTGCTGGCTGGGGGCACGGGATTCCTGTACAGGCGTTGGCTGCGTGTACGGGTCATTCATTTAATCATAAATTTATTTTTTTTAACTTTTTCTTTACTAATTGAACTTTTAGATATACTTTTATTTCTCAATTTCTTATATGATGGAACTAGACTCATCTTAATTTTTCAACAAAATACAGTTAAGTAGAACCGCGAATTATGCTGCCTGTTTTTTGACTCAAGAAATGAATCACTCGGCTTGTTCATGGTGCCAAATTCGTGTATTCACACAAAAGCAATCGCTGTCGCGTATGTACACAAATTTGGTACTGTTTATTTCCATAACGGTACAACTTGGTGCACAAGAAGAGTCTAGTAGAACATAGTAAGAACACTCAACATACAAAACAATATTTCTTTGTACTCTGTACATGAGAAATAGTAAATTAGTTATCAGTTTATCCCAGGCAGAAAATCCCACTTGCTTCCTTCTGCAAGATACTCTTCAGAACGGCTTGATATACAGACAACGCAAATAATCAGTAATGTTTAACGTTTTGTTTTTCAGATGGTGACCTGCGTAATTACCTACAAAAGCTAAAACAAAGCAACACGCTTCTCGATCATCCTACCATTCTTCGATTTTTAACCGATATTGCGAGCGGTATTCGATATTTTCATCACAATAACATCATACACGGCGACTTAAAACCGGAAAATATTCTCGTCAAGCATTTGAAACACAATGGAAAAAGGCTTGCGATTGGTGACTACGATGACCACTTTAAGTCCAGAAGTGGGGCTGTAAGCAATTATGGTATCGAACGGGCCTGTTGTACCCCTAGCTATATGTCGCCTGAAATGATGCGCTTTTTCCTGAAAGAAAATCCTGGTATCTCCGAAAATCCGGGATTGGCAACGGATATCTGGAGTTTCGGCTGTATTGCGCTTGATTTCCTGGACTGTGTATTTGGTGACCGACCAAGGAAGCTGGTGTCGAAGAGTGCCGATTCCGCATTAAATGAGGAATCTGTTGATGATAACACGACACTACAGCGTTACAGTTACCTTTATTCAGAAGGTTATGCTCCCTTCGTGAGTAGCGGCATTTGGATCAACGTAAATGGGACGGACGGAAATGAGATAAATTTAGCGCAATGTATTGAAAGATGTTTTGCTGTTTGTGGGACGGACAGGATAACGGCGGACGAACTCCTGTATGAGCTGCAGGCTGCTAAACAAACAATTTCTGCTACCTTAAAACAAGCTGATACAGCTCCAGCGAGGTTAAACCAGTTTGTCATACAAAAAGAAAGTAGCCGTTTATTTTACTGCTGCTCGTGGGCAATCGATGAGGTGAGAAAGGAGATTTTTTTGGAAACTTTCGACCCCACATTATCTTTTGTGTGGCGTTTTCCTCTCCACGCTGAACTAACGCCCAATGGCCAGGTACGAACACGAACTGCATAAAACACCCATGCGTAAATAAACGTGATAGGTCATTGCCGTGCTCTAAGAGTACGAGTGGAATGAATGAACAATCCTCTCTTAAAAGGCTGCAGTACTTCCATAGAACTTCGATGGACGGAGTTAACCGTGTCCGGAAATAGCGTAGGTGCCTACGAGAAATCCAATCAAAGATTAACCTTTTGGTTTGGTTCTTATCGTTTAAACCCTTCTGATTGACAGACAAAGCATGGGTGGTCAGAACTGTATGGGTTTGAGTGGTTAAATCTGACCCCAAGCCTGTAAAGAGATGAAAGTTCATCTGTTCCTCTCGTACTCCTAGGGTAACGGCAAGGGATAGTTCATTTTGCAGAAATTCATAAATAAAAAGCAATTTAAAATGCGCAGTTACTTAATTTTGTGCTTATTTATTTAAGTAACTGCTTTAACTGAAAGCAGCTAAACCATGCAAAGCAATCTGAATATACACGTATATACTATTATCGACCGGAGAGAAGCGAAGGTCCTCTTAATTCAAATCAAGACCAATGGATTAGTTGAATCTGTCCGTTACGGAAATCCGATACGAAAGAGCGTTACCGAAGTAACGCTATGACGACATCACTGTCGGCAGCAATGACATTACCGCTGGTTTCCGTGAGGTATCGAGCATATACAAGAGTACTGCAACCCTTCATTTCTATCCGTTACGGAAGCGCGTTACGGATGTGCGCAGTGATGCCGTTACCAGCTGAACCATTCTTATGTTATACTGAAGGAAAAGCTTACTTTTAATGTACTTGTAACCCAAGCACGTTTGTTATGATATTTTCGTACGTACGGTACGCTACGTATAAAAATTTCATTATAAACGTGCTTAGTGTCACACGTACCGGCAGGGCCGTAGCGATGCCCGAGCGATGGGTATCGTTCTGCTGAAGCTTTCAGCTTGCCAAATAGCAGCATTTGGCAAGCTATTTGGCTGCGCTTGTTCCGCCGGTTAAAGTTCGATCTGCGGCCAATGCGCTCATAAATATCAAAACCTGCCCTCTTTGAGCATCCCCCGGACCTAGCTAGGGCCATGGTGATTACTTATGCCAGTCCCTCTCCTGCTACCGTTGGCCAAATATATTCAATAATTCTGTAGGCCAAATCCCACTCCCCCCCCCACCTTCGTAAACCGCCGGCCAACGGACCCTCACGTACATACCTCCATCTTCTTGCGCTTATCATGCACGCCAGAGGTCCAGAGCTGCCTTTAAAGCTGCTGAAGCTTTCAATTGGCATAATCTTTTCGAGCAGCAACGCCTTGAATTTACCAGCCGATAGTGTCGCATTCAAGAGATCATTCGAAAATATTATTGCATTGAATGAATGCGCTGATTAGCGCGAAATGTAAAACTTATTGGTAGAAATATCTAAGATGCGCTGGAGTGGCCATAAAATGTGTTTCTTTTACTGTATAAACTGATGTATTCACATCAGCAAGAAGGTTAAAAACCGAGAATTTGATGTTGTACCTTACGAACATCGCTGCAGAGCCAGTCTGCATTTCTTGAATTACATACGTATAATGGTGAACCAAATGAGAAAGCTGCAAATTGATAAAATCAGCTGCCTGTACGAACTCTGGAGCAAATCTCATTCGGCGCTTTATTAAATTCCAGTAGATTACTTATTAATTTTACAAACACCTCAAATTAAAATAAAAACGGTTTACCTCTACAGCAGGAACTTTTTTTGTCGTACACAATAAGGTTTATCTTCAAAGCATGTCACGAGTACTCCTCGTGTCATAGCTTGCTTAGATGTTTTCCAATATGGCGATGCTCTTGTTTTCTGTGTGTCATCCTTCATTGTTTTGAGTGCTAAGTGCTTTCAAAAGCTGCACTATATGGTCACATGGATCAAATGACAGATTGAAGTACTGGTTGAAACAAATTCAAAGACGAAACTGGTCATAAATAAAAGAATGATTTTGAAGAAAGGACATGAAAAAAACTGCAAAAGTACCTAAAGGTTTTCGATTTTTCGTTTTCGCTGTTCTCCACAGAAAACGTTTAAATTTCGTTTCCTTCAATGCTTACATAATGGCAAGTACAAAAAAATATATATAGGGGGAAAAAGCAGTCTACTCGAACCATTTCCTTGTACTGCTGCCGTCAGCCGGCTGGAGTTTTACGTTGTGAACTTGTGGGCCTGTGGGCCTTTACATGATGCTTATGTACCGTGCCCGATTTAACCATATGTACTGCCGTAACGTCACACACGGCAGACGGCAGCAGTGCCGTGAATTGGTTCGACTGACATGGTTTTCCCCCCTGTAGATGATTTGTGTACTGCTACATATGACAGAGGGGTAAAACAGGGAAAATTATTTTGGGAATTATTGGTCCTTTGTATTATTTTATTATTTTGGTCCTTTGTATTAATTATTTAAGTATAAACGATGATTTTAATCGTACTTTCTCCAATTTTCATTTCCAGTGCATTTTGATGGCCGGTATCGGTATATTGTGACAACGAAAAAAAATTTCTCCACAGTTTTTGTACAATTTGCAATCAGAAGTCACATGCATGCTGCAATTATAGGCATTCGAATTTCCACAACGGGATTTTTTATTTTCGGCTTTTTCTCGCCACACATGTGAAATGTGAGGCTGCACGCACGTACAGAGTACAGTACGCTGATTGTAAAGCTCATTACATTAGGTTTTACAACTTTACACAAAGCATCCGAACTTTGTTGCTAAACTGGCCTCAAACCAACCTAAATAACGACGTTTTAGAAGAAAGAAGTACAGATAGGTTAAACTTATCATGAACGTAATATTTTGGTGTTTTCATGATGCAAGATTTTGTAAATTTTACCTGTCTGAATTTATTTTGTGGTATTGTTAACCTGTAATAAAACCTTCCTTGAACCATCTCAGCGTGACAAAGAAAGGTTACTCTCTGCGCATGTAAGGAATACTCTTTGAAGAGGAATACTCCGAATGTATGGACTTGAAAAATGACTTAACACCGCCCTGAATCAGTTGTACAGCATGCAGGCTTTACCGCCTTATCGATCAGCGTTGAGTCATTTTTGAAGCCCATTTTGAAGCATCTCTCCTTTTTTGGTGGCGGCTGAAACCGAACAGAAAAGCCGTAGGTGGTAAAATTCAGATTTATTACATACTTCAATGCGAAATCCATTTCATAAACAATAAATCGAAATTGAAGGGAGCGACTATTGTCACCCCCGCACCCTTTTTTGACTATTGCGACCCTCTTTTTACATAAAATAAACGCTACCCTTGACTATTGTAACCACCTTTCTTACCCCCTTTGGCTATTACCACTCCTTGAGATTGCGGTGCTCGGCAGTTTGTGCGCGTTTATGCATTTACGTGAAATGAACCGCTCGCACTTATTTATGCACGGGTTTAACAATTTAAGCAAAATTCACCTTTCTGGTTTGTGGATGCATTTGTTGATTCAGTAGTTACCTGACCACCTCTGGCTGTCAGCGCAATCTGTATCCGGCGATTATAAGTTGGACGCACCGGTCTCAGCTGGTAATGGTGAAATAATTCTGGAGTTCCTTGATGCAGACAAGTTATTTACACACATAATGGCTTGGAATATTGCCACAGCGACCTTAAGAAATTTGGGAACTTGGGATCTACGAAACGAAGAAATAGAACTGATGCCAATTGCTGTAGGCACAAACATTTATTTTTGGGTAGGAAGTAAACTACAAAAGCTATGCCTCATTCGTGGAACACAATGCTGGGTGGATCCGCCGTACAAGCATAATGTGTAAGCTTTCTGACTTAATTAAGAGCTCATCAGGAAGACATCCGGTAGAGACAGCTCAAAGTTTTTAATCAACGAATTAGTCACTGCCGGCTGCGAACACATTTCGCGAACTTGTTGGATTTAGTTAAATGAGTCTTAGCGACTAAAAAACCGTCATACTGTTTGTAGTCACAAAATGTGTTAGACTTTTAGCTATCTTAACTTCCTAAGCACATATTCCGTTACAGTGGAGAGATTGTCTACGGGGAACGGATCGAGAACCACTAGTTTACTGTTATTTAACAAAGTTCAAATCGTCGCTTTCCTTGCGATTTCGTTGCCTGAACACTGTGACGGACCTGTGGAGCAAAAACTGCATTCCCGATTTAGATGAAGCACGTGAGCAGTTTGTCATCGTTAAGCTGGACCATCACTTGTACCTCCTGGGAGGAAGAGAACCACTGAAGGATCCGCCTGAACTGCGAGAACGTCGCGAACCAAAGTTGGGTATTCTTGCATCTAAGGCAAGCATGAAGTCTTGTTTACGTGTGAATATTCCACGTGGGTCCTGGGAACCCATTGCTCCCCTAAATCACGATCGCATATCTCCTTCCGCGTTTGTTTTACACGGTCAGATATATGTCTTTGGCGGTTGGTCCAAAACTGGTGACCCAGAAAAATCGATGGAAGTGTACTGCACAGAAAAGGATAGCTGGTCCCTTGTCGGCTTTCCAGAGCCAAAAGATGAGAGCAGAAATTACAGTGTCTTTAGGGCTTGCGGGACTATGATCTACCCATCTTAAAGAAAAAAGGCTGTTGCAGGTCATATTATCGCGGAGTTTGTGAGGGATGCATTCATGCTTTCGCTTTTCGTAATAACGATCAAATGATTTTACACTAAATAGTAGAAATGCCGTTTTTTATTACATATGTTCTAATCATAAAATAAAACATAAAATAAAACATCTCAAACTATTTCACAAGTCAGCGCATCAGCGAAGCGATCCCAGTGGATGACGAATTTTATTGTGTCGAAATTAATCAGCAAAATATAATATCAAAATTTCTCCCACAATATTGCCATGCACAAAATACATTATACAGCGGTCGGATTACAGCTTTTTAACAAATCTATTCGCCGCTTTTTAACAGTACACTGATGACAGAACTACCGTTCATCTACCGGTATGTGAAGCTCAGTAACCAAAGCCAGTGCCTAAAAGTACTCGTAAAAACTGTACAAGTTTGTCGCGGAATTGAGGGCGTACAGGCACAGCATACTAACCGTATATCGGCATTTTAACGACGTCCACTACGTGACTACACTACAGCTATCAAAATAACAATAATTTATTACAACACTTGCAAAATTAATTTAACTTTCGAAGTAAGTATATTACGTTGTACCGTCATTCTTAAACTTGGCCTGGAGTGTTTTACCGCCGATAACAGCCTCCGCGCCGACGGTAACGTAAAGGTGAACAACACTGGCCGCCACAGGTACGTTTGTTATTCTTTAATAAACTTTATTGTTATTCGATTTTCCACTGATGAGCGCCTTTATTTAAGTGAAGCAACGGCAAAATTTGATGTTACCACTTAAGTGGTCAACGCACGCACAGTCTGTATGCTCCCGCTGCCAGATTGCCAGGTAAGTTTAAGTGTTTAATTAATGATACGCAAAAATCGTTTCACTCTAATTATTAATTTTGGTTGTACCTTGTATTTATTATCAACCTGTACAAGCAAATGCCATTTACACTTAAACTTTAAAAACCCAGTAACTAGATTGTTATTATCGTCATTTGGCTGCTCGGATGTAACAGAATTATGCAAGCTTTTATTTTCTGTTCTGCAGGAAGTCGCACGGCTGGAGATTACTGGCTATTTAAATTGATACGGATTACACTGCATGCTGCGTTGTACGTACATACTTCATAAACAGCTTGCCTTGGAGAATTTCGATAATGCACTAATGATGACATAATTGTGTACTCTGTAGATACTGAATTTAACCAATTTTTAGCTATGCGCTTGCCGCACCCTCCGACTGTTCAAAAGCGGTATTCAAAAGCGGTATGCGGTTCAAAAGCGATCTTCCATCACGGTAGAAAAAAAAACTGCAGAAAAAATGTGGGGAAAATTTCCTGTATGTTGCAGAGTTTTTATGGCTTTTAAGCCGTAACCGTTCCGGTTATACGACCAGCATCGCGTGGAGCAGATCCTCCAACAACAGCAGATCAGTCCTGAGCCGCTCAAGCCCTAACCAACTTTACTGCCAAGCGCAGCGGAAGCTGTTTATTTCACCTATTGACGAATTCCACCATTCCCAAATAGCTTGACAAATGTTTTATTACCGTGCAGTGTTGCGCTTCGACGGCGTTGCATCTATGATAAGATGAAAGAGGCAGTATGCTTGGCTGTGCTAAAAAGATGGATAAGCTTATTGAATGTGCTATTTCCTGAACATACAGTATTTGGTAATCCACTGAAAATTTAAATTTAGAGAATTTAAAACTGGAACAAGAATGATCGGCATGGTAGCGCTTATGTCAACAACTATAACAGTAACCTATGTAACCAGCTCTTAATCGTCAGTTTCGGCCTGTTCGGGGATGTTCGGGAAGGTCACATTGGTAAACTAGTACTTGGCCCAAACTGACGATTAAGAGCTGAGGCATTTGCAAAAGTACTACCATACTTTGAAAGTGCTTTCAAAGTACTGATGTACCACAGTGACCCTCCCGAGCATCCCCGAACAGGCCGAAACTGACGATTAAGAGCTAGGCATTTAAAAGTATGGCAGTACTTCGAAAGTAAAGCAATACTTTTAAAGTGCTGTAGTACTTTCAAAGTACTGGTGACCTAAGTGACTTTCCCTACAGCCCCGAACATGCCGAAACTGACGATTAAGAGCTGGGGCATTTTGAAAGTATGGCTGTGCTTTTAAAGTAAAGCAATATTTTCAAAGACCTTTTTACTGTCAAAGTGCCTTTCAAGTTGCTGGTGTGCCAAAGTGCAAGTATAAAAAAACGGTGCTCATCATGGGTGTAGTGCACCGACGCACTGGTCACCGCGTTGTCAAACACCAGAAACAGCATCCCCAGATGGAACCAGTTGAAGCGCAGGATTTTCTAGCAGAACTCCGGCGCTTGACCTTTTGGTTTATTCTCGTCCACCGTCTCCAGGCGCCAGTTGCCGGTCTGCTCATCAATAACGATAACAGTTCCACATTTTCACATTTTCGCATTTTCACATTTTTGCATTTTCACATTTTTGCATTTTCGCATTTTCGATGTTCGCAGATTTGCATTTTCGCATTAATACAGACTCGTTTTCACCATGGTGCTTTACAGTGCGACGAAGACGACGACAACACAAAACATGGTTATTGTGAATCGCAGATCTGTACTGCACCGTGCACTCACGGTTGGGTCATGGTAAAGCAATGTGCAGTATGATGCACAGTACTGTATAGCACTAGAGACTAGTACTAGAGCATGGGTCAAGCAAAATGTAGTTTGAACTGTGGTGCAAAAAATTATTAACTGCATACGTGTTGCATTTAGGTAAGAAATCTTCACAGTACTGGTGCTGGAAAGGTGATACAGTAAACAACAGTTTTAACGGGGTCCGCCAACTTCGCCTTTGCCGTCCATTTGCCTTTGCCGTTTCAGTTTGTCGTTTTCAACTTCACCTTTACCTTTGCCTTTGTCGTCGGAAAAGCTGTTAGCAAACCAATTTGCCGTTTCAGAATGCCGTCTGTAGAAGCCTTTGCCGTTTGAAAAACGAGTTACCGTTAGCACAATGCCGTTTCTAAAATTTTGCGCGTTCCTTGTTTCACGGTTTTTCACATAATCCTGCATACGTTATGTGCACAGTCCGCGAAGTTTTAAAAAGTGCTGGAGTGTATATTTACAGTCTCCTACTTTTATAATTATTTACAGTCTTTTTAGTTTTGTTGTTCACTTTATTAGGCACAAGTCTACACTGCGTATCACGTTTCTACTACTCCGAACATCAGACAATATTGAAAAGTGTTTATTTAAGGATTTAACATAACAATCATTGCAAGCGCCGGTACACTACGTGAAAGTTAAAATTTAAACGTTAATAAAAAAAGCTTTAAGGATTTTATATTGTGTTTGACCTTGCAGTGCCAACATTTTTGTTCCATTAAGTATATTACAAATGAGAATTAAAATGTACACCTTGAAAACGATGTATACAGAAACAAAAATACTAAGAGCCTAAAAACTGTCACGGGCTGTGCACATACCGTATGCAGAATAGTGTGGAAAACCCTGAAACCGGAAACGCGCAAAAAAGTTTAGAAACGGCAATGTGCTAACGGTAATTCGTTTTCAAACGGCAAAGGCTTTTACAGGCGGCATTCTGAAACGGCAACTGGAATGCTAACGGCTTTTCCGACGGCAAAGGCAAAGGTAAAGGTAAAGTTGAAAACGGCATACTGAACGCCGTTCAGTGAACGGCAAAGGCAAATGGACGGCAAAGGCGAAGTTGGCTGACCCGTTTTAACGAACGTTTTCACCGTGGTGCATTATAGTGCAACGACGACGACAACTCAAAATATACCGTAATTATGAATCTGAAGCCCCCCCCCCAAAAGTACAAGCCCCCCATAATTAGAGCCCACCCTAAGATCGTTTGAAAGTTATAAGCCCCCGAATAGAGGCCATGGGCTTACTAAAATACCGTAAAGCCCAAAATAAAAAATGCCAAAAGCTGGTTTGAAAAATTGAAGCCCCCCCCCCCCCCTAAACACAAGCTCATGCCCGTAATTGGAGCACGGGGTCATTTGAAATATTTGTAACCCTGGGCTTCTAATTCGATAATTACGGTAGATAATAGATATGAACCGCAGATCGACAGTGTACCGAGTAGATGCACGGTTGCATTATGGCACAATACCATGCATTATGAAGCACAGCTAAGGACAAATTGTAGGGCAGGGTGTAAAACCTGGCAGTGGCACCTGCCACTGGCACTGCCAATGGCATGGCGAGCGATAAAACCTGGAGACTCTGGCAACTGGCAAACGATAAAATCTGGCAGATGCCCTTAAAATGTGGCACACTTAATAAGCGGGGTTGAACCGTATACTTCTTTAAAATGTTGTCGGTATATAGTGAATTTTTCATATAATGTGTTGACACATTACTGGCCATGCACGAATTGCGTACGTAAAAGCCGACATACAGAATTTTGTTAGGTCACATTCTGCTTCGCCGTTTGCAACAAAAAAAAATGACAAGAGGCGCTAAAAATATAATCGCGGTACTTCCAGATCTAGCAAGCACGCCGCTGAAATACGGTTTGCGGTTGAACGCGGTTTGCGGTTGCTAACAAAGAAAGAACAATGAAAGTAGGCTGCAGTGTTGACTGTTGACTGAACTCGAACGGATCAGTTCAGTAACAGGCTACCAGCACGATAGGCGCTACAACTGGCACACTACCTGGGGCCTGCTTTTACTCGACTTTCGTTGCGTTCCTTATACCTCCTACAAAAAAGGCAACAAAAGTGGTGTCACTGAATGAAATGCCGGTACATGGAAATTTAAGGAATGCCGGTACATGGTGCAACATTGGTGTATATTATAGCAATTGTGGTTAAATTCAAATAATTAGAACTTTATTTGATTGGTCTGTGTGAGCGAAGCCGATAAGTCACGGCTGGCGAGTTGTTTTAGTGTTTAACGGTATGATGTGAGACGGTGAATTTGGACGCTGATCAGTCGGTGATGAACTAACTTCCTAAATTTGAATCAAATTGTCCAAGGGCATTCTGTCGTTCGTTCGGTCTTAATAACCTCTCGTTCTTCCACCTTTCCACACAGCAATCTTCCAGAGAAACAGTAAGATCTCTTCCTGTTTGTGTGTTTCGCAATTGTGTATTATTAGACCACCAACATCGGTCTGTTTAGCGGCGTGGCGCGGCGTGCAGCCAACCCACAGTAAACGAGAGCACACCGCCAGGCTTCCGTTGTAATATAAAAGAACACTTTCGCTTTCGCGCACCCCGGCACCCTTAACCTTTTTTTCCTAGTTTTTAGTCATTCTGTAGTCAAATAATTCGTATACAGTGGCCAGAAGACCCTTTATATGCGTTGCACATAAAGGGTTTATGTTTTGGCCTGGTTTAGCTTATAACGTTGTTGGCGGGGAGACTGAACAACGTTAAGAGCCAGCTCAACCTGGCCGGAAACGATATTTTCGGTAGCAGTTCGCTTGCTGTTTTCGTAATGCACTGAAGAATGCAACCATTACAGACTGACTCTTAGTGACTTTTGCTACAATTTCATTACGATGCCTGTTGTTTAGCCAGGTTTAAATTCCCATGCTAGATGTCGATCCAAGCCTTTAATGGGTTACCTGCCTACCGTACAATAAACAATAAGCAACGCAAAGCAAAGCAGATCGACCGTCTTAAAAATTTTGCCTGGAAGTACCAATTTCCCGGAAGATCACCGAGCACGGTTTTTATCATTTGTTTCAAATTTCATATATTTTTATCTGAGATTCATTTTCTTAGCATTTGAATTTTGAAAGACATTCATGGAAACGAGACTCGGTGTAAAAACGATCTTTTGGCCAATGAGTGTTTTCATGCAGGATTTGGAGATCAATTCAAACTGAGATTTATGCATACACCTCCGTATGTTTAAACGTTTTAAACTTTATCAAGCCCATAACTGCCGAAGCGGATGTTGCGCGCACAGACAGCCTTCACGCCAGTGAATACAACTCATCTGACTACAAAAATGCCAAAAAACAACGCCAAAAAGTGTTTTCGTTTTTCGTATGAAATTAAAATATTTTTAATTCAATTACGGTTAGACGAGCACGCGCTGTGCAACTTCATCAGCATGGTAGCATCTAATAAATTTATTGCAGACCAAAGCAGCATGCAATCGTCAAAAATTCATACTTTGTATTTTTATGAGGCTTTTGCGGTTTTGCCGGACAGACCTGGTGGTCCCTCACTGCGTTTTTTTGTTGCGAAGTTTGTATTCGTTTACTTATAACATATAGTTGAAGCTCATTTGGTATATCGTGGGCGCAGAATTTAGGCATTTGGGACCTTTGGGTACCGCTGAATGTTAATATTTTCATTATAGGTAGTGTTCTGTAAATTACGGTTAGTCATACCAGACACGACTCCCTTATACTCGTATTACTCACAAGAAGATTTAGCGCCTAGCGCTATATCTTCTCTCACATGTCCCTTACATCAAGCCAAGCTAAGAAACTAAGGAGTCCGAGTAAGCCGAAATCCTCAGAAAAGAAATTATTAATTTTAAGAAACATAATTAACCTAGCGAGCGACCAAAGGCAGGTGGCCGAAGTGACTGGATACCTCATGGTCAGACTCGGACCATGAACACGCACCTAATGTTAAGTTATTGTAGTTTTTGTAATTCTGATGATGGCGTTTTGAGATGGCATTAGTGCAGTTAAGAATATGATATCTTGGCATTTTGCCACTTGCCATGTTTTACCGCTTGCCAGTAAGCTGCCACTGCCAGTGGAAATTGCCAATGGCAGGTGCCACTGCCACGTTTTACACCCTGCCCGTAAATTGGCATAATAATCGAATACTGAGAACGTAGATACAGACTAAAACGTAGTGTGTCCCAGTATGATCCTGTCCACCTTGATGGAGCCCACATTAAATTTTTATAAAATTGACGGCTTTACGGCAGAAGTCGGCATTGTTAATTATAGGCGCTCTAAACATAGCGTCTCATGCTAAACTAGCCAGAGACTGATGTAAACGTTTTCAACGCAACTGATTTTACGTGCGCACTCTGTCGCACGTTAACAATCATATGAGCCGGTTGGGCTCATCTGTTTGTATCGCCATTTATGTACAACGGGCGAAATAATCAGCAGACAAAACAACTAGATAAGGCTAGCTGTTTGTAGAACTATCCTCTGGAAGCAAAGTGAGCGTAAACAGTGTACAAAGCGCCGATTTTTTTTTGGAATCACAATGAAGTTTACATGCACGCATATCGAACTTGAGCCGAGCCGGCACCATAGTGACCATTAGTCTGTAGTCAAATCGCTGTGGTACTGTAGATCGTGCCATCATCGTGATACAAAATCGCGGCTTCACTCATTACCACCTTTTCATTGCAGAAATGATTTCGTGATGGTTTAGTAAATTTACAAATAATGACAACACTAGTTACCCTTCTCAGCCGGCCTTGTGGTCCAAAACTGTTTGTCGTCAATAATAAGGCATGTCGTGGAGCAATACGGGGCAATGTTAATTAGCATTACAGCGCTTAACATTATCCATAAATTAATCTTTTGTGACTGTAAAGGTATGAGTACGAGATCATATTAATTTTTATTATTGGCTTCGATTGGTAAGGAAGCCGGACGTGATCACGCTCGCACCCTGGGAGCGCGGAAAGCCACTGGCTATCGATATGACTTGCGTAGATACACTAGCGGCTTCGTATATTGACCGGACCCTGGTGAACGTCGGGGCTGCGGCCGAGCACGCGGAGCGAGGAAAGCTGACAAAACACGGCTGGCTGAACCAAGGTACAATTTCATGGCAGCAGCATTTGAAATCTACGGACCCTGGGGAAATGGAACTAAAACGCTCGACCAGAAGATAGGAAACGGAATTGCAACTGCTACCGGCCAAAAACGCGCAAAAGAGTTTTTTAGGCAGCGGCTATCTATTCAAATGCAACGGGGAAACGCGATATGCGTGATGGGTACAATCCCCGAACAGGATAGCATCGAAGAAGTGTTTTTATTATAAATTATATTCTGCTTTGGTACTCAGTTTTGTACTAGCATTGTGATACTTATTAAAGGTCCTCCAGACGTAAGGATGCAGATACATAGCTTGTAACACAAAATTTGCTGTTCACAGTTACAGTAGTACCCCGCTAGCCTTGCCGCTAGTATAGTTCACCTTATGGAGCATGTTATGATTTCAGTTAATTTTTATCAGCGCTTTGACGAAACGTACAGGTATTGTTATGCTTTACACAAATTATTCAGACAATATGTATTTATTATGTAATAAGTAAAATAGCGCTGAAAACTAATAATTTCTATAGTGAATTAACAAACAGCAGAAACGAGAGGTCTGTAGATAGCAGATCATCACAGAAAGCAGTTGATCTAAATTAGCCGGAACAAGTTACCTTATGTATGCACTATGCATACATTGACATCGTATTACCAATGCAATTTTGGATAAAATTTCTATTTCCATTTCAAAGGTACGGTGGTGCAAAGTTTATACAGCATACATTGTTCATTCATTCCTAAACGGGTCCACTGGAGAGCGGGCATGATACACATAGCACATCTAAATTTAGATTACTGTGTTTATATGTGTTTATATGCGTACAATTTTGCTTGCTGTAGCGCAGCAATGTTCTAAAATACTGCTGTCAAAAAAATAATTGGTCAAATTAATAAATTATTTTAATAAGTCAGATCAATAAGCCAGAAAAACTGGTCTAAAAGTTCATATTCCAAGTTTTTCCCATAAAATCATATACGATTTGTTTTAGGTTTGATAGAAGTGTATAATACTTCATATTTTATCACAGGCGTTAAATTACGGTAGCCATTGCAAGTTAAAGTGAAAACTACCAAATGGCTGAATGAGTGTGCAAATAAAATTGTAAATTTGTTCATGCGTCAGTAAGCAGATCCGATTTAGGCAGCTTCACGCTCAACCGCAAATCATTTTCCAGCGGTTTGCTTTCTGGATCTGGAAGTGCCGCGATTGTATTTTTTGCAAGTCGCCTTGCGATTCTGCTTAATTGTGATACTTTGCGCCAACGGCAAAATGCGATGTAACCTTTTGAAATTGTTTATGCCGGCGCATACTTTCGAACTCCGTGCATGGCTAATAAGGGTGTTAACACTTTATATGTAAAACTGACGGTACACTGGCAAGAGTTTCAGGGATTATGCAGTTGACCAAACTCCAAACCCGCTTTTTAATTGTGCGACCGTGCCACATTTTATGCGGCATCTGCCAGATTTTATCATTTGCCAGCTGCCAGAGTCTCCAGGTTTTATTGCTTGCCATGCCACTGGCAGTGTCATTGGCAGGTGCCACTGCCAGGTTTTACACCCTGCCCAAATTGTAGCTAGTTTGCACCGTGATGCTAATGTGCTTTGCAATTTGATACTATGCTAACAGTTCTGGCAATCCTAGCCAGTGCAAGCAACGCACTTGTCGTCGTCAATATTATTATTGTCATCTGCACTGTACTGGTACGGTTCTTTACCTTTAGGCTTTACCTTATGATTGCACAGTAAGGGACTCAAATCAGTGCCGACCATGTACCGTATGTAAGGACGTACCGTATGTATCCTTACAGACGTACCGTATGTAAGGATACATACGGTACGTCCTTACAAATTAGTTTCAAGACCTTCCCTTTTGGCACGTTACTCAGTACATAGATTTTGATTACTGTCAAACTTGTACCGCAGCGACGTCAGCATTTCCATAAAGCTTACTTTCTACGAACATTTCAATATTTTTTGAACACGGGAGGTACGCTTTATTAGTTTTGAGCACGAAGGGAGTCTCGGGAAACGTTTGTGCTTTTTTTTCTAGTCATTTTTCGAAAGACACAAACCCACTGAGTGATCTGGAGAACTGGACAAAGCGTCGTGCACGATGGCAGAGTCTAATCCAGCTGAATCATAACCGTTTGTTAAAGTACTACGAAATCACTGTGAGCCAAACGGTGCCTAATATCTGATGGGTTTTTGCAACGGTATGTTGAGAAATAATTGCTTGTAGTTGTCTTCATTTAGCATGGCGAATTTAACTCGCTTGGGAGCGAGTTTGAATTCAGACCTCCCGCCCAAGCGAGATGCGAATAAACTTTGTTGTATTCCCTTTTTCGAGCAGTTCGAAGGTTAAAATATTGTGTTTACTACATAGGCCTGGCCGCCTCTCCAAAGTAGAGACCAGAGCAGACGTTACCTTGTCGCTATTCGCTACTTTACCGGTGCTGGCGGTGCAGGGTGTACGTACGATAAGGCGCTGGCTGTTTGTGTGCCTGTCAGACATACTATAACTGCCATTAATTTTAACAGGCAGTTGGGCACAAGTCCGCACAGCTGATATCTTTGCTAAATTCTTGCTACTACAAATTCATGGTTTACGGGATTTGGCCCGGTACAATCTTACTGCCTGCTGAAGCTCTCCTATATACGTAGCTACGAGTAGATCGCTTAAAACGTGGGATTTGCCTAATATGACATGAGTTGCGTCAAATACCGTTTAGTGCGGTTCACAACGTAGCTGAGCACAATTCCATTATCAGCTCCAGTGGGTCGTGAGGATCCTTGTGAGTTACCGCCCATCCGTAGTACGCCAGCTCATTTCGGTGTCGTAGGGTTGTCAATTTATTAAGCCGGGTCCGGATATCTTCCTTATTTTCTTCCGTTAGCGGAGCGTTGACTAACTGCTTGACCGCGACTGGAAAACTGCAAGGAAACAACCAGACTTCACGATCCGGTCTTTATAAACGACACCAAATGAGCCCTTTTCTAGAATACTCGTACAGCTGTCTACTTCATATGTAAATGAGTCCATTCTAAGCCCTGTGCTGCCCGTTCCAAGAAACAAAGTCAGAAGTGGAAACTAAACGTTCATAATGCCGTAATCGAAAATTGAAAGCAAGGGTTCTACGTTTGTTGCATGTGGAACGAGTAGGCGGTAAGCGCCAACGGTTATTTGCAGGTCCATGCATGAGAAAACTTAAAGCGCACAGTGCTACCGTACCAATTATCAGTTTCGGCTTAGTCATGAATACAGTTATTGCATACCTTATTTCAGTATTCTGTCATGAATACATATTCTATGGTTATAGCTCATTGCATCAGCTGTTCGTGCTAGAACATTTAAAGCTTTCGATGACTCACATCTGATACGATAATCATAAGCGGTGATACTGGGTGAGCGAACAAACTGGCTTTCTTCGCTTCCGGTTTGTCTATCGCGAACCACCTATCGTATGATGCCTCGTATCGCATCGTATACAGTTTAAACTCATTCAAAAGACACTTTCATTAGCTACTAAACAACAGCAAAACCATTTAATTTGCAAAAATTAAACATTCTTCGTAAGCAATAGTGCCGATCGAAAATTGTGCCGCGGATTATTCGCATTTTTTTTTAAAAATAACATTTATAATTTTTTGTTCATGAGGCTGCAACAAAAGATTTGGCTAGTGACACTGATACTTCTACCAGCTGCGTATCGCCAGTGATTTTTTATCGCGATAAGCTATCAGGGCAAGTGATCTTAGGGATAAGAGAATGAATGCATGGTAGTATGTACGGCATTATCCACTCTATCGACATTTGCCAGCCGATCTATGGTACGTTAGTGATTAGTATATAAGACAGGCATGATCGTTCGGCAATGTAAAGCGCAGATTATTATTAATATTGTCATTTGCGCGTGTTCTCGAGTTTCTTTTGTGCCAGTAACGCTAAAAAATGTTTAAGATGGTCCAAGGTGCTATTGGTGTCGGAAAAATGCTGTTTTTCTCCGTGTTTACTGCCGGATTTCTTCGATATCCCAACGTCAACGCGCTCGTTGCGGTAAGAGTATTAGGATTTTAGCCTTTTTCTTGTGCGGTGCTATCGTTCTCCTTCAGTTAAGCGGTAGCAGTGCACTGACCGATTACTGCTTCAGGATAAACCGGCATCCTGTGACGATATTTCCGGGAAATGGTATAATCAACTTAACTCCGAAGTGGAATTCCGACACGGGAATGGTTTTCAGCTGCACGGAACGTACGGCTCATACGTCAATACCGCACAAACTCATGGAAATTCTTCCAGTGCAGGTATCTTAGTCCGCGTAATAAATTTTCCAGGAGTTGATGTCACTGCGCAAGGCCTTGAACAATGTTATGTTGCAGATGCGACTCGAGGACGACTGATCGGCTTTATCAAGGATACCGCCCTAGGCTTCACAGTTGTGTGGGTAAAGTGTAACATCGGTCCAAAATAATGCGCTAAATAACCTTACGAATCACGGCTCACGGATGGAATAACCTTCAAAAATCTTTTTTGATGTTGGCAGGACACATCAAGCACGATGACTTCATATACCGGAAATTGTAAGATATTTTGCCGAATAATATTAATTTGTATATGATGTTGCAGATGTTGTGTAGCGCTTTCTCAATATACAATATACAATTTTTCTACATTGTATGATAATACTGTGATGGAAGTAAACGTTTTGCATTTGACACATACTGCGCAAACCAGCTCTTCCCAAAAGCTTTTGAACTCAGTGCCATGGCGCATTGCATGTATTCCTCTTCAAGACCGTTTGTTGTTGATTTTATTGTTGGATTTCTCATTTCATTTCATTTCATTTCTCATTTTATTGTTGGATTTCTGCACCGCCTACCGACTAGCCGATTTCTATTTTCCTACTTCCACATTGTACTAGCAGCCCATATTATAATACATGCAAACTGTAGCACGTACCGAAAAATTATTTTACTTCTGTTTTTTTAAGGCTACGTGGACCATGAACGCGGTACTGTACAGATCAGAGCCGCGTGGCACTTGGTGGAGCGGCAAGATTCCCTCGCCGATTCATGGAAGGGTGTCCGGTGAGCACGATTTACTGAACATTCGGCATTTGGTACTTTTACACACACTCTTCAGGTTTCTATTGTTTTTCGTAGATCGGGACAGGCTGTGTTCACCCGACAGAGACAACAAGCATGCTTTTAAACTAAGCAACATTGTATCACCGCGAACGTCAAGGTCACGAATATGAATATCGAACATATTTGGTGACACTGACAGAAGAATCACCAGAAAGACCCCAACCTGCCGTTTGCTAGCCAGAGCTTTTAGTGCTGGGTGTTTTGGGTCTCCTTACATAATAAGAAATGTGGTTGATGGGTACGGTAAATAAAATTTAAACACTCGTAATTTCCGCCTGTATGCGGCTGCACATGCTGCTGATAATTCTGGCCATATTGGAAGATTTAATCGCTGTCTCGTGCATTATGCTATGCTATACTACGTACAGTATAATATGGGTTTACTGTGTACTAATTAACCACACAAAGACAGTAAAATATCATACGCATCTGTGTGAGTCAGTGTGAATCTTATCACAGAGGGAAGATAACCGTGCCAATTCATAATCCCCGCATAAGGGCTGCATGTTTATATACGTCTTACCGTCCCGTTTGTTTGTTTGTTTGTTTAATCAGCTTAACGTCTACAACAATCAGGTAAGAACCTGCACGAGGTTGCAGACAAACGCTCAAGATCAGCTGTCACAAAAAAATGACAGCCCCTTTCAAAAAGTCTTCGAGCTACCGTAATCACAATGCACAGCACACAAAGTTATTTCAGCATGTAACATAAAAAACAAATGATATCACAACAGTCAACAAGATCAATCAGTATACCCATTCTCGCACGAAAACGTTGGAGGGCCAAAGTTCAGGTCGTAGGATTTTATCAGCATCATCTTTGAATATTCCAGTCCGGTTCCAGTCGCAGTGCGCTTGTCTCCACGCGGGGGAACAAAAACGCTTACGAATTTGGTAGAAATTCCTTCGCTGTTCAACTGATTGGCAATGAAATCGTTGTACGCTTTCACACTGGTGAAATTTGAATTTTCAAGGCGAGGAATACCTCTCACGCAAAAATCAGCATGTGGTTTTCGCTTACACTGGAAGGTCTTGCTCAATTCATTGCGAGGTTCCACGTCAGCACCGTTGTAGACCTGACATCCACGAATTGATTTTGGCAACCGCTTAGTAGCAACGACATGTGCATACGAAGCATGGGTTGACGGAGATGACACAGGCGAAGGGTTCGATCGGGTTTCACTGCCAGCTGGCATAAACTCAGGACATTTCATCGCACCAAGCCGCGGCACGTTAACTTTTCGAGGTTTCCACAGTGCCCCCTTTTTCTCCATCGTCTTCCTCTTCTCGTCCAGAAGTTCCCAATTTCCCGGAGCGTATCCGAAGTTTTCCTCAACAACACGCGCAACAAGAGGGTCCGAGATCACATCATCACTGTCGTATCCCCGCGCAGGGGTCTCACCGCCAGTGGCGAGTCCACATTCTATCACGAAAACTCGATCACATAGTTCTTGCACTCCGTTCTTCAATTCAGCGATATCAAGAGACGACAAAAGGTTCTCCTTAGGGAGGCTCCACGACAGGACTTGGCAAGGCTGTGAATGGAGTGGCTTTCAGCTGGTTCTTGATGGCCACATTTTCTACAGTCAGTTCTTCGATCTTCGATTCCAGGCACTTTACATGGTTAACAAATTTCTTAAGTTCGGGTATAAATTTTTCCCAATTAACTTTTGAGCCAGAAAAGTCAAAAGAAAAGTTGCAATCAGTCATGTTTCCAAAATATATCAAAATATTCCAAAAGGTGAAAAACGTGTTGGCCCGGTCACTCCCGAGGTGTAAAATTTCAAGCCCTGAAAGATCCGGGGTTTTATAAAATGCGCATTTGTAACCGGCAAAAACGTCCGGCAGATTCATCCGTCCGGACGGTTTTGCAGGTTACATGCGTTCAGGACACCACAATATGGAAGAACACCTCAGGCTGTCGTACAAAACCTAGAAGATACGCTTGTACGTATCTGTCGTTAAATATTTGCTTTGCGTCTACTGGCGATGATAACAGTAAAGTGTAAAATCAGGTGATGGCAATGCTAATGGTAAGGCAAAGAAGTTCAGCCTAGGAACTGCTAAATCGACTTCGAAGATTCGATCCAGGAGTTGATGGAGATGTTTTAGCTGTTTGCATTTACTGTTTAATTATCGCAATGCTCTGCGAATCTCGATTCAATAGGCCGATGATATTAGGGTGATTGAAAGCCTTCTTTCTGACGTTGATTTTCTGATAATTCCTCTTTTATCTGTAGTATGACCAGTCTGTACCACTTGAGATATCGGATTTCTTCTAAAAGAACTGATCCCCTATGCTTGTGAATGAACTAAATTTTTTGCATTAATATCTGTGGCTGCACTGAAATAAACAGACATGTTTGCACTTTAACTAAACAACTTGCTTAGAATTTCCAGACACGAAAATCCAAATGAACATTCTGCAGATTATGTCACTTAACAAAACTATTCGGCTGTGGTCATTTGGTTCATGGTCAGATAAGGACCGATTACATCGCTGATCCATTGCCGGTGCTGGTAGATGTCGGTGTACACCGAGGGGGCCATCCAGAGAGAATCACACACCGGCTGGAAACTGCGGATCCCCACCACTTCCCATAACTGCTCGGCATTCCGGCAAATTACCGGCGCGCCATCCACTCGACCCTGCGCCACAGATTCTTCCGTTATTGCGATGCTGTTTTATCAGATATGTTATTGGTCTACACTTACGCGGAAGTTTTCTTAACTAATTTTTACCATGCAGGGACTCCTGTGCGTGGTATTGCGGAAACCGCCACACACCATCGAGTCGGTGATCAATCCGTTGTAATTGCCAGCTTGATTGCACTGCTCCGTCGATATCAGCGGAGTCTTCCAGAAATAAAGTTGCCCTTCCGGCCGTTTAGTCATCCGCGTGCCCGGAATTTCCGTTCCTACAAAACAAATGAAGCACAGTGACGGAATGCATCAGCAATGAAATGCTAATTCATTTTCGCCATAAAAGGAAATTGATCGGATTGTGTAAAACACTTGTTCGGTCGAAAGAATAAATGCAGCACAAAGATCGTGGACAAATATTATGTCTTCAGCATTGCTTTCGATGCGCTTTTATAAGATACGAATGCAAAAAGCAGGCGGCGTGTATTCCGTGTTTTTTTACAGGCAAAATTGGGCATCAAAATTCGTGCTGGACTTAAGTTTCCGGTTAAATAAAACAACTTTTGAAAAAAGTCGCTGCTAACTGATACAGCTGCAACACTCGCATGCTGCTGATGCTTGCTGCAACACTCGCATATTGATCGGCCGCAAAGACTTTGATCACCTTCGAAGTTCGAATTACTTGCAAAACTTGAGTGCGTCAACATACTTGAGTGCAAGTATCCATAGGATACACACGACGCGTTCAGCGCTACCGAACTCCTCGGCATCCACACAGCCGCATTTTTCCCCAGATTGGAGCCTATTATTAAGCTTTCCACGGCTTCCACCAACACCAGATCGTGCTTGGAAAAATAGATATTAAACTTAACATTCGGATGGGGAACAAACCGTCGAATCATATGGAAGGAGCTCCGATCCATGGAGCTGGGGTCGGTGAATAGCGCCCAATCCCCCGGCGATATCATGGGGTCACTAAACAATCGTACAGTTACAAAACCGGCAGCGTTCTTATGCATAGGTAAATTATAAGCAGCAACTCACGCTTGAGAGACGCATTCGTAGGATGTAAGAATCCAGCGCGAGTTCAACAGAACGCCGATGCACTTTTCCAGGTCACCTTTTAAATACATTAGCACGACAATTTGGCGGTGCTCGTTAGGCGCGGTTCTGTATGCTACAGAAGGATCGAGGTTCGTCAGATCGAACTGCCGATTGCCTCGTGCTGAAACAGCCAATATTAATTTCGGCATTGAAACGTGCTGTACTGCCTTTCTATGGATATCGTCATGCATTATTTAAAGTCCAGCTACATGCAAGCCATGTTTTTTATACCATCAGGACACTGCAGTGTGAATGGCGCTGGTGACGTCGTCGTGTCCGGTACGAGCATCGTGGCCACGGTCTTGTTGAGCGCCACACCGGTGATGTTTCCGACAACATTGAACAGCACCGCGGCAAATCCTGCTGCTGTACTTTTCGACAGTCCAACCGGTCTCCGCATGATAAAATTATACGAAGCATTTCCGTTCTCCGCCGACACCTCCTCCAGACCAAAATGCACCGGCGTTATTGATGCCACGGTCGTCGGGACAGTCGTCGCAGCGGTGTACTGGTAGTCGGCAGCTCATGGGCGGTCGTATTGACTGCAGTATGGGATTCAAACGAAAAGGGTTCCTTGTAGGCATAGAATACCGATTCATTGGTGCGCGCCACAGTGGACAGCGCCGGTCCGATGAGATCCCGCATCCAGTCGACGGCGTAGGTCAGATTGGCAAAGACCAGGGGTTTGGGGCTGAAGTTGCCGCATTTGTGCTGGTAGCTGAGGAAGCCGCGGATTTCCCATGCACCCAGTGTGCTTTGGCAGATCATCGGCGACACGGCGTCCTCCTGCAAAAAGCATTGTACATTATATTATGTACTTTGTATTACGCCAAAAGCAAAACGTATGTCGCCATTTTGTGGTAAATATATCCCGAATCTAGTCATACTCTGAGACAAACTAATTGAATTTGCTTTGCGACAAAGCATCCGTCTCTGCAGCGGTATTTTGCATTCCTCTCACACTCTGGATTTCTGTTGATATTTCCGTAAGGGAAATTTGATAGTGTTACTATCTGTACTGTTTGTCAGACGACTTACGTCACACACAGACAGCGAGCTCCGCCAGCACTCCATACTTCCGCTGACCAGTCCGACAAAATTCCGCCTCGAATTACAATCGATATCGGCCGCGCGCTGCAGCTGTGATGCCACCACGGTACTGTTATCGTAAAGCTTCACCAGTTTGCACAAGGACGGAATAGCACTGGACGGCAAACAAATGGGAACCAAGTTGGCCGGGACTACGCTAGCCAGTTTCAACAGAGTAAAATCGTAATTATGCAGCATGCGCACAGTCAGATGGTTAGGATGGAAAAACACCGCGCTCACGCTGGTGTGGAAAGAGTTGGCATAAAAGGTCAATTTTATTGTGCTGGCCGGTCTAAAATAATGAACACAAAAATCAGCTGCCAGACAAGCTTTACAGATAATTCTGCTCCATGTATAACGTAAAGTATTATTTAAAGAAATAAAATTTCTAACGCATATGTTTTGTGGAGGTGATAAAGAAGTTTTAGTACCTATTTTGCAAACAGCTGGCCGACGTCAGAATCCAGATTGGTGCCACCAGGTATCCATTGCACACCGTGAATGCATCACCGTCGAACATAATCTTCACAATAGCCGACTGCAATTTGAGCTGATTGCCGACACCGGGATCACTGGCGATTTGGCACCGGAGCCTCTCGCATGTAATTCCGGCTCGGGAAGTGGGATCGGAGCAGGTGTCAGGTGAGGAGATGAGAAGCTGCTGCAGCACGGGCAGCGTCGCATTGAAGTCCGGTTTCATCGAGAAAGTGTTGCCGGTTTCGGTGGCTGGAGCGGGAAGAGCGAACACTGCCACGGCCGGTCTAATGCAAACATTAGGAAATTCTGATACAGAAACTGGTAGTTTTAGAACGGCGGTGTCTACGGGAAACTTTAGGAGCCTCGATTTTCTCTTAGATGTAATAAAAACCAATTTGTTTGGTATCAAAATTCTTATAATTTTTTTCTTATTCTTTTGAGAGATCGCTTGATGGTTTTCGTTAAGAAATGTGCAAGTTCCAAGTGACTGAGTTTAGCATGTGAGTCTACGCGCAATGGACATGACCGACTTATTTTGGTCTGCTGCTGGTCTTGCCGTTAAAATATCGGTCCTCGGACCGATTGTCTAGTGTAACCACATTTATGGAGTCCACTGTACGATAATAACTGCTTCAGCTCTATATTTTTCGTTTGATCATTTAGTTGATATTATTAAACACTAACTCAAGTTGGCAAATCGCCGAAGAGGATGATTTGTCATCGACCTTTTACCCTGTATGTTCTTAACATAGTACATAACACAGTATATATGTACATCACCGAATCGGACACAATCAAGCTTCCTTAATTCAAACGCGTAATTATTTAAAATGGATGATGTTCTGCTTAGTAATTAGCTGCTCAAAGTACGCAACGACAAGAGTAGCAACTTCAGTTAAGTATTACAGGATGTTGGTTAACTTCAGTGTGAGTTTACCGGTATCCAAGTTGTTGGCAAATTTTATTAGCCGCTCGAAGATTCCATCCGTGGGTGCAGAGAGTGTGCCATTCGGTATCCAGCATTCGTGCCTGCACTAATCCAGAGTATTGTAGCTGGAAGCAGTCTTTTTCATCGCTGTATCCATCAGGGCAGTCCGCCACTCCGTTGCAGCGCAATCTGTACCATGGTAGACATATCGATTGTTAAAACAACTCACCAAAAATTTAGCGTATGGTGTGTAGGCTCGTTTTACAACTGATGTTTGGAAAATGTGTTATGTACCTCGCATCAATGCAACCGCCACCACCTTTACAAGAAAACTTTCCGGCATCGCACTGACAGTTAATTTCGTCCTCATGACTGAGACAGTCAATTCGTCCATTGCACCTAGCGCAACATCAACTGCATCAGAAACACATCAATGTTTTATTTCTCTGTTTGTGTTAATCAAACCAACACCCAAAATGTTTTTTGATTGGGTTATAAGGCTCTGGTCCACCTGGAGGTGATCGAGCTTCCATGCACAAACAAAATTCCAGTTGACAACAGATTCCTTACCTCCAGTGCAGTGGAATACACCGTAGGCTCTGATGGCAGGTAAATTGATTGGGACTAGTACAAGTGTTATCCGTTTCAATGCAGTTTAACTCGTCAACTGGCAAGCCCATGACAAAGCAGTCGCCTACTCCATCACAGCGGTTATCGTTTTCCAGACAGTATCCCGTAACACATTTGAACATTCCCGCCGCGTGGCAGACGCTTTGTGAACAGTCGCGCTCATCGGATCCATCGCTGCAGTCTTCTACACCATCGCACTGTACAAGACATAGATTTAATGCGTAATGCATACACAATAAACTTTTCAATTTTTTTGGAAGAAAATCTCAGCGCTCCCAACACGCAGGTAAAAGACTGAAATTTTATAAGATGTCATTTTATTTTACAATTACAGTATTTCATTTTGTAATTTATTATTAAAATTTTAAAATTATGATTTCTATTTAAATTTTATTTTATAATGATTGAATAGAAGATTTATACATCATTGCATTACACAATGAGGCCATCAAAATGCCATTGCGACTGACCACAAGCCCAGAGGGAACACATGCTCCTGACCAGCAGCGGAAGTTGGGAAGGCAGTCGGTGCAGTTGGCCTCATCGGAGCCATCCTGGCACTCCTGCACACCGTTGCATACCACCAAGTGCGGCACACAACGGTTCTCCTTTCGGCAAAGAAATTCGTCACTGTAACAGTGCGCAACGGCTCTGATGACAGAAGCAGGTGGCGGAATAGCTGACACACTCGGCAATATGTTAGGAACGGCTGTGTTCACCGTTAATAATGGCTGGGATGCTACCGTACTAGCAAAAGTCATTGTCGAGTTATCTGTAACGGCGGGGACAGTTTCCGCAGCGGCAGTTGCGGAAATCCTTAATACCTGAAAGCCGTATTTACATACAAAGGTGAAAATAAGACAGTCTTACTGCAGTTTGAAGCTGTGCCGCAACCGTGGAAAAAATTAACTTCAACACCCATTCTGGACTGGCGAAACAACGGAGCAACACTTAAGTTTTTACATGGAAAAATTTTGTTGGCAGATACCTGGGCAAGAATGGCAACGACGTAATAGTAGGCCATGGCAAATGGATTCACTTTGTATACTGCAAAAAAGGATTAGTTAGTTCTTTAATGGTCTCTAGCGTTTACTCAGTATTTTACAATCGTTGTATTTTTCTCCGTATTAATGTACATGCAACTTACGTCCTCTTCTGCCACATACGTGTAGTCGAAATGATTTTGGTATCGGTGCTTTAATGCATCAGTAACACTAGGATATTCGGGTGGGACATCTGGATCACGTAGAAATATGAATAGGGAAGAAAATGCTGTTTGAACATCTCGGTTAAGCGAACCAAGGTATGCAGTCGGGTCGAGATTTATTGCATCATCATTAATTTTTTTTATCATTTAAGAAATCAAGGATATGATAAATAGAAAACCTGTAAACGACCGATGACCGTTCTTGGCAATGGCCCTTACTAATCCAGTACTCCTATACTGCCGAAGAAGTTTGCGCCGAAGAAGTTACCTATACTGTCGAAGAAGTTTGCGCTTTGAAATAACGCAGTTGAGAAGTAAACCGGTAAACAATTGAATACACGGAACTGGTTTGCCTTTTAATCGTTTTTATACGAAACAATGAGCCAGTACGCGCCGCTTGATATTGTGCTGCAGGATCAAACGTGGCAGTCCTTGGTAAGCTCGACAGTTCTTTGGTAATTCTTAATAAATGTCTTTGTTGGCAGACTTGCTATACTGTTTTAGCTGGAGGACCTGTGCTGGCATTGTCGTTGCAACCGGTTTTGGCGTATTTCTAAACATTATGCTCGTAACTATTCGAATAGCACTTAACTCCATTGCTACTAACCATGGCACGACGTTATGCGTATGCTTTCACTTTGTTATTTTCTTATTTTAATAACCGTAGTAATTCCGGCTGTTTGGAGGCCGCAAGCAACCAGAGGAGGAGGAAGTTTTTTTTTGGGGGGAATTCAGCGCATCGTAAACTTTGCCGGCAATTTCGACTGGATTTTCATTGTCATGGATTGTGCTACCTATATCCTACAAATCTACAACATGAAAGACATCAGGTGCGTAATGCCCTGACCCTGAATATTCTTATCTGCTTAAATACACATGCATAGGCAACGGTGTGGAATTGATGTTGAACAAATTTGATAACTGGTCAACGCGAATGGATAACCATGTGTCGCGATTTGAACTTAATAAAATAAACGGTATAAACCATGTGTTACAATTGCATTATGGAATGGAACCTCCCCATATCGTTCCTCCGGAATCCCTGAGAACCCTCGAAGCACCGGATCGGATTTATAAGGTAATCGAATCGTTTCGGAATAGGGAACGAAATGTGGTGAGCAGTTATGGCCCCCGTAGATCTCATAACAGAAGTCGATACCGTCATTCCTATTTAGACCGCAACCGCATTTATGAAACTGATACGTTTAATTCCGACAAGGTTCTGAACTTCTGGATGTGTGTTAGAAACGGTGTCCTTTTGGGAATTGCCAAAAAGTCTTAACGGATTCGCCTAGTATACGGTACGCCATACGAACAATCTTGTGCTATGCGACAACAATGGACCCATCCCTTTCCAATGCGAAGGCTTCACTTTGGACAATGAGACATTCGTCATGCTGACGAGGACAAATTCGCCTTCCTTTCGTGTTGGTGATCTGATTTTGCAAATCAATGAAAAGAAGCGTATTACAAACAGTAAGTACCTGTACGCTGCAGTTTAATGGGAATTTTGGATTCAGTAAGAAAATGGAAATTGGCGATTTCATTGTTTCCTTTATCTATGCATTTAGCAGAGACTTTAGGAGATTTTCATTACCCAGGCCCTCGTCTAAAAAGTCGTCTTACTGAAAGCACCACCGAAAGAACGTTGAAAATTCAGTACATACACAAGATCGGATCTGACATGGAAACGGGGCACTTTCTTGATTCTCTAACGCACCCACACAAGAATTCATGCGTTTTAAATTAATATTGACTTACAGTAGCTTATGCAGTGCTTCCTGTACAAAGTAACTGGGTATAAAAATCCAAAGAATTTGTTCTTAACTGTAATAGCACTAGTGGTACTCTTATTAGCACATTATTGTGCATAAACGCATTACAGGCCTATAGTCGGAATGAACGTGGCTGACTTCTAACTTCCAAGTATCTATAAATAATACGGTCAAAAACAAAATTGTGGTGGAAGGTTTTATAAGACACACTGAGAGCATTCAGTACACCAGTGAAGAATAACAGTGTCATGTTATTCATAATTTAATATTGAGCTCTGATGTTTAAGCGCTCATCGCAGTAAAAGTATGTTCACTTATCTGACTCTGGTGAGTGACTAGTCTTGGTAGAACTTCTAGTACAAGAAAGTTATAAAGTGGTGACGTTAATTTATTACTGCTAATGTTATGTCATCTGATTTGTAAACACAGCTTTATTACGGTTTATGCCATATAGATAATTCATGATAAACGCTCACTCAGTGACTAGTTTTGCTTTCGCCTGGAACTAGTTATAAAGTCATAAAGTGGGGACGCAAATTTATTACTGCTACTGTCATCAACTTAGTTGCCGGTTACGAATTATCAAGGAGGAAATGACGAACCGACGAACCATTGCCTTGTTGCATTATCTTAATTAGTATTCTCTTTCTGCCGATGGGTGAGCTCGGATCGTAAATTCCGAATAAAATATGCGCGTTGCAAAGACTGCTTATGGCACTTGTTTTCCATGAAAATAACGAACGCTGACAAAGCTCTATAAGCGATAATTACTAGTACTATTCTAGTTACAGTCTCTTTTAATAATACCTTTTATTACTACCTCATATGAGTCATAGCTATTGATACCCGAGAAAGCGGAACAATGCCGGAAAAGGTTGGCTGCAGAGTAAAAGATAGTGCCAAAATGTATTACACGTAGGGAAAGGTAGTGCGAAAGGTTTTTTATCTCTGTTGCATGAGTCGCGCAATTATATATTTTAATGTATAATAATGCTATAAGAATATTAAACAGTGCAGAGTACAGAAAGCAGGGCTTTTTTTGCAATTACTAGACTAAGGGTAATGCGCCTATGGAATTTGGTGGCATATTAGAACGATCGCGTCCATGTTGTATCAGTAGCACGAGGCCGGCCGGCGCTGTCGGGTAAACACGTCCTGGCCCGATCTATAAAAATTAAAAAATATATCTTGATCGAAAGCAGCTACATACAAACAGCCAGAAATGCGAGATTATGAGCATACAGTCATATTCTCGAGAAGCGCTAGCCTAACACAAGGAACGCAAACGTTTTTAATTCGGCTACTGCTCAGTTCTTTCGCACTGTCTAGACTACGTTCCCGTGCTCTTCCGCAATAGGGATATCGTTCTGCATCCTTAAAAGTAACTTACAGTACACCCTTCCATGAATCAGCGAGGGAATCCTGCTTTCGCACCAAGTGCCATGAGGTCTTGATCACCACCAGATTTCGTTCGCTGTCAACGTAACCTTAAACCAAATAACATCGTCGACACTACACGTATCAACGTTATTTTTGTATCATTATCAAAAGTAATAAAATATTAAAATATTAGAAGTAATACTTCAGCATAAATAATTCTGCAATTTGAGCACAATCTTACAGTTTCCAGCCCAGGCGGTAATGGCGCCACTGTTATCCTGCCAAATCAAAAGCAGCCATGTTAGCGAAGATGTTAACAGAGTTAACCGTACTACCCTAGTACTCGCTGTACCCAGTTCACGGTGAAAGCCAGAGTGGCATTCTTCAAGTAACCGACCAGCGGTCCAGTGGACGGCGCTGCAAGCAAACCGTTAATTTCATCGTGGGTTTATTTGTGCAACACTGTTGTTGAATCCCGAGTACCTGCGTTGGAAGAATTGGCCTGGCTCTGTGCGGTATTGACGTACGACGCGTAGTCTCCATGGATCAGCCGCCCGTTGCCGTGGCGGAGCACCACTTCCGAATTGAGCTGGTTGTACCAGAGACCGGAAATATCGTCGCATGTTACCGGAGCGTCCTAGAAAAATCCTCCTTCAATCAGCCTCGCTGCACATAACAAACAGCGTGTATGTCGTACTAAAAAAATTAGATGTCGGCGATTTGGTTGGCGGTTAAAAAACTTGATGATAAAGTATGGATATAATATGTAGGAACATATCCAGTACGTATAAGTCATGATAAGTGTAATTTGTAAATGTCTCGTAGACTGAGCTTTGGGTCCGGTAATGAGCTTTGGGTCCGAAGCTCGAACAGAAAAGCGCTGGTTTGCGCAGTACGCCTTAAGGCAAGGCTTTCTTCGTTCTTTAGTCCTATGTCTTCTCCAGATTACTTCCGACGTCTTACCACACGGCTTCGCAGCGAATTATCGGCGGGGTTGGGTACCAATTTGGCATTGCTGCTGGTGGCCATCAGCATCACCATGGCGCAGAATATCAAAGCTGCATACACAATTTTCGACATTATTGCCGAGTTAACTTGTAGCGGAGAAGCAACTGTTTCAGATAATGGGCTGCAGTGAATTACTTGCCTACTCAAAAAAGCAGATAAATCGAACAGCACTGCCAGTAAAAGCTTGTCATGGGGTTTTTATATGCCACTGGGAGCGTTTACTTTTGCAGTGCACTGAATGCAGTATGTCATAATATTATTATGGTTCATGGTGTCATCGCATTCGCAGTATGCTAATCTATCTGCGTGACTACCATTTTCGCTGGAATCTGCAGCGGATGGTATTCAGTTTTGATGTCATTTGACTCAGTGTTGATGCCAATATTCTGTGTAAAATGCGATTTATTTACCAGGTTTGCGCTATCGAAAACGGAAATGATGAAACATAGCCCAACCTTTGTATTCTCTAGTCGCTTTCAAGCGCTTGACTTGAGAATTTCGCAAACTAGATGCGCGTGCCGCGCTACAAAGACCGTTTCTTGGACTTGTTTTTTCCATGGAAATGACGACGTTGTTGACAAACTATGTAATCGATAAAGTACAGAATACAGATCTGTACTGATGCCGCGTTCGAAGCGCATGGATGTTAAGTACAGTACTATCACAAAAACCTTTTTTGCCATACATACTGCAACCGGAAAAGATTAGTGCGTTATCCGAATGAGCGATGATTTTCCTTTTCTACAATCATTGCGGCACGTACTATGCAGCATTCCGCTTCGGACTGGAATCAATCATTAAGACAACTAGGTCAGCCGTAAGTAATACAGACATCACTGGCGCTTAGTAATGTATTTTTGCGTATCAGATTTTTGGTTTACAGGAATATGATAACATTATGTGCATATTTACATATGTATCCTTCCCTCAACCACATACGTATTTTTGAACCGTAACGGCTTCGTTCTTTTTTCAGACACATCTGCACTTTATATCATTTTGCAGCACACGACAGAGACATCTTGTTTATGCGAGCTTCAAACATGATGGGATGTAGGTATATAGCTGACCTGCAATGTAGGACTAAATGGCATCGGTATGCAGTGCACTTGTACGCGGATATTTCGAACAGTCGAACAGTGCATTGCACTGAATGTGGATATGTTGGGTATGCGACCATTTCGTCCTACATTGTACATGGTACTACAGACTACAGAGCGGTGACAATATCAAGGTATTAAAAATATGGCGCGGTATTGAAAATAACAGTTTCTCATAAACTGAAAGTCGTGTACCGCGAAAGAACACTTGATATCACGAAACTATTGCTAATATTAGATTCTCTTATTATTGCTCGCATAATACGTATTTATCGCTTCGCATAATACGTATTTATCGTATTTTTCCATTCTTCTGTTATGTTATAATGTGGCGTACGTAAATGTTAAACCAGCATTATTCATGTTTTATCTTTGTCTGAGTTTGTCCCATAATCGTCGTTAATCTCGAGCTATTAAAACAGATAATATTTAGTTTGTATTTCTTTTTCCTTGTTATTGCATCGAACGCTGCGTTGTATCGAAAGTTTTGTTCGCTTTGCAATAAATAAATATTGCATTCCGACTACAATACGGAAAAAAACTACACATCATTCGCACCGATACTGCAGAGGCGGGAGACAAAACTATGATTTAAATTCATGATTCAAGCAATATTTATTCTACGCGAGTATAATCCCCATAAAAACAGAAACATGAATTTCTTATTGTGTGTCTGATCTACCCGGCAGAATACGTGGCCGCGTAATTCCATTTGACCAGCACGACACTCCCCCTGGCCACCACCTTGACCTTCTCGGAATCAAACCTTGGATCCACCCGCATCCCGGCCTGCTCCAACCCCAACTCTATCTCATCCTTCTCACCCAATCCCGCCGCTAGTTTATTGCTGACGTCGATCACCGCCACAGTCTTCCCGTAGCGGTAATCATGGGAGCGACGGTGGTAGCCGTTGACCTCCACCCGCATCTGCAGGTCCTTGGAAGGTATCCGGGTCCGCACCATCTTGATGGCCTCCTCCACGCCCCGACTCATGGCGCCACCGTCGCTCTGGAAGAAGGAGATCGGGTGCAGGCCGGTGTAGAAGTTATCACGGACGGGTGTTTCGGGGTCGTTGCTGCAGTGGATGTCCACGGTTATTTTGGTCGGGTGGTCTGGGTTGACGGCGGTGTAGTTGCAGTATGGATTCAGTTGAGCGGCGTGAACAGTGGGTGCACTGGATTCGGTGGTAGTGGTGCGGCGTTGTTTAGCGGCATCCACAGCGCGCCAGGACAGGAATAGGACGGTGGCAAAGAGAACATTAAAGAACTGCCGATTTAGAGGTAACATGTTGTTTAGCAAAACCGTTTAACAAAACTAGTAATCAGTTAATATTTTAAAGCACTGTAAATAATATTAGCAATGCTATAACACTATTTAAGCACACTAAGCGGCATACATCAGGATAATATTCGTTACAATATTGTTATGCATAATGTATTACCTGCATTTGCTGCACGTAGCTGCATGTAGGCATTTTTCACTATTTCCCTTCAATGTGGAGCTAGGTACAGATACTTGTATACAGCAACATGCTTGTTAAATTATGAGAATCGTTGAGGCCTTTATCTGAACCCAAGATCACCGCGATAACTGATCGACGATAGAATCGACTTTCCTGCAAGTTTATTACACAATACATTCTGTATTTCAAAATTCAGTCGAATCGTTGTCAGCTCATTCAGTAAAAAGTACAGTGATACTTTTCGATAAAATGCAGGCATGGTTCCAGGTCTCCATTGATTTTGTAATTTATGTCGGAGTGTATTTTATGTAAGAAAGCTGCACCCCGGGGCACCGCCGCACCGGTGTTTATTTCGGGGGTACGGGTGAGGGCGGAGCAATAATTTATTTACTTCAAACAATTAACTGGACAGTAACAACCATACAAGCAGTGCAATGTGCATAATAAATTCTATGGAGCCGCGCAGTTTTAAAGCGACTGCAAACTGCAATGACCACTTTAGCGATATTGACCTTTGCGACAGCCTTATGTAGGTTAAATCCGGCCGATAATGTGTTAGAAAAAGTCCGAGTCACCACTAATATTTCGTTCGGCGCCAATCGCCTTTGCAGCTGGGCATTCCCACCGCTTTCCCCATACCCACTACTGCGGTCACACCAGGAAACGTGCCAGTCCGAATGATGCACGCAGTGCAAAGGCGGCTCGGCGTGTTCACAAATGCAGCCAAGTGCAATGCTGCATTGCACAAAGGCTGCTTCGTGAAGTACTTAGTATATGAGAGCGTGATGATAGTTTGCAGAATGTGCAAAAGTTTGCAAAAGGTCGCATTTTCCGCGCGCAGATGGTTTTCACGCTAATATACATGTATATAAAATATAAAAATCATTTGGCTACAGAATACGATAAAATAATTCAAAGTAGTAGTAATAATTCAAAATAATGTTTGGTAGTGCTCGAAGCGCAATTTTCTTGAACATGCACACGAATTTGGCTCCATGTACCGGCACACTTTCCTTAACACAATAATGCGCATTATTCATTCACATTCGTTTCATTACAATACGTAGTACTACATTGTACGTAGCCATGTCCAAAGTTTGTAACCGGTGCGCTACAGAAACAACCCAACAGTCACGCATGGTTTGGTATAATCGTATCATGAATTTATAGAAGTCTTGCATTGTTAATGTCGATACACTGGATACAATAAACAGACGTGCTCGGACATGAACCACCAAAAATATTTTTCTGTGCAGCAGTACAGCTAACAGACATCCTGAATGCGACAAGTGAGTAATCATGCGGATGGCATGTTTAATAGTTTTTGCAATCTGCACGTATAATGGAAAAGCGCTCAACTCATACGGAATAAACACCGAGGATTATCAGTAGCTTCAGTACACTGGTTTATAAGAGTGATTAGCAGACATGCAAGAATCTACACTGTTGCATGCACCACACTACCGGTACGCCCAGTCTCCGCAAGATATAAGATACATTATAGCAATGCCAGAAGAATAAGGATTATTTCTCAAACGCATAGTCTGGATAGAAACACTTTTAATCGATTGATTCAGTTTACCGCTCAACGAACTAGTGAAAACCGACAATGTACAGCGGGACCCGCGCAACCAACAGTGTTGATGTTTTGTCTGACGACGGCCGGCTCTGTTATGGACGTGTGGTGGACGTAACGGACAAGGGACTCTTCATCGACTTCCTTATGCCCAGTCGACGCCGTGAATTCACCCCCTTTGAACGCTTATTCCACTGCCATGCTCAACTGCCTCTGGATGCCGACCGGATGGGCCCTCTTTACGGTGAACCGCTGTCCTCCATTCACCTGGAAGTGTTGGGTCGGGAAAGTCCTTCCGGTGTGTGGATGTGGTTTCCCGCCCGGGCGGCCCATCTGTCGGACGGTACGCAACACAATGCTTACGGCGTGGCCGTGGTAACATGGTGGAACGAAAGAGAGTACACGGATATTGTTCCTCTTGACCGGACACGGTGGAGGGTTGCGAGCGACTGGTGGGCGCAGCACGGCCAACCGCCAGTGGCTTTCACCAGCGGTACTGACGACATCTCGCGATTTCTGGCTACTTGGCCCGCGAACGTTAAGAAGAGCACATTTACCAAGAGTTTCATTCCGATACCGATAAACTGTTGCTCCATACCTGGGGAAGAACTGCTGAAGCGCATTAACAGTACATCTCCAGTGCCGTTTGTGGAGGTTGCCAGTGGAAAGTTGTGGTACATTCAGCTGAGAGAATTCTGTACGGCGGTAAGAATTCATTGATTACGTACGTGCGGTGGTTTTCCAGCTTTGGGATATGTATCGAGAAAATCGTTTTTGCAGAATCCGGATTTGCCGGTATTACAAGAGGAGTTTCTGATGTCTGTTCCACGCATTGTTGGGGAGCTGGTAGCTTCATCGACTAACTGCGACAACACGAAACCGTTTCTTGAACTACCGTCTAAGGTATGGAAGGAAGTGTTTTCTTGTCTGGGAACTGGTCTGCAAAACACGCTACGCGGTGTCTGCTTTACGTGGAACGACATTCTGAATTCGACATCTTTAACAGACAACATCATTATTAATAGTGCGGAATTCGAGGCAACAAAGTCGGACCGGTTCGTTTACTACATGACGTCACCCATTTACAAACGTCTTCGTTCGTCTACGCAACGCATTGTGTGTGATGCGTCCCGGCTGACGGAAGAGACTGATGTACTTAAGCTGCTAGATATGATACAATATGTTGCAAGGCAGAACGCCAGTGTTCGACTGTCAGGTTTGTATTTGTTGGGGTTTCAATGGCGATTCCAGATTGGTTCGGGCCATTCTTCGCATCATGACACGTGCGAACTGCATCAAGCTGGAAGTTAGCAGCCACGTCAGAGTATGCTACCGGTAATTTCTGCTGTTTCCGGCTGGGCTATTTTGTCGCGTCGCTCCGGCGAGTTCCATGTGAATTCATCCGGTTTCTCAGCTGTACCGTAAATCTGGACTATGTGTTTTTCGGCACCCATCCACGACCCAGAACGATAGATTTGTCAGTTGTCAGCCGAATCAACACGCCCCGCATGCAGGTCATGCGGCCTTAGCGGTGCCGTGTGGGATGCGTTGGAAGCTGGTTTGTCGCAGAGCAGCTTCGACCAGCCAGTAAAAGTATCTGGGTGGTTGGGAATGATCACAAAACTGGCAGGAAACGGCGCTGATTACTATGGCAAAGATATGTGCAAGGTGGTTCAAAGCAACGTTTTTTTTTAAATGGTAATTCGGCGCCAGCATTTTATGTCCTTTTAACATGACGTTTGGTTTGTAGATTTTGTGTGCAGTGCAGACCGCTGATCCACGGACGTCCTCACATTATCCCGGGAAGAAATGGTGCGTTGACGGCCTGAGCGAGCTGCAGTGGGAAAAACTGTCACGTCTAACGCTGGGTTTCATCCAAGAAATGGCCGACGATTACGCCAAGGCACGTGTCCCGGACGTCAATGGAGGTCCGCATTTAGACTGAGCGCCAGACTACGTTGACAGACAGTTTGACGGCGGATACAATTACTATAAGGTTCGCGGTTTGCTTATAGACAATTCTGCATCAATTTACAATTCATTGACGCCAATTTACAATTTGTTAAAATCTGTATTGCACATTAATTTTGTCGTACGCATGGGCATGACTGAAATTACATCGAATAGTCATTGTCCACTGATATCTTGAATTTGCATGTTTTCATATTATCGGCACCGTATCAATTAATATTAGCGTTTTCCTGTTGTTTGCGCAGTTTGTATTGTGAAACTGTTTACGACGTTCTATGCTAGTATGTATGAAATGTGAAAATGTATACGTTGGCGGTAACGAACGGAACGGTAAAGTGAGGCAGGGAATTTTTGTTGAATAGGCCGCAGACTGAGCGGGCGAATGTGCACCAAGTGTGTAACGATCGAAGGACACAAGTATAAAAAGAGGAGAAAAGCAACAGTATTTAAGCAAACAACTATTTAGGCATATCAAATAGAATGAGTGGGCAAATCACCATAATGAATCAGTAGCAACATAAAAAAACTGAATCAGCACACTCTGTAAAACATCTGTATAAAAGTATACAAGAAAAAGCCTCGGCTTCGCCTCCGCGTTTCTTGTGGTCAACGGCCACTTTACAGACTGTATTTAGTTTGACTGAACGTTTACTGTATTCGTCATTTACTGTATAATATATTTCGTTGCAACATAATCGGTACATCGTATTAACGCAAAAAACGGATTTTTATAAAAACACGGAATTTAATTTTATATGATTTTTTTTATTCAGTTCATGATTCTCTCAAATTACCATAAATTCTCAAAATGAATTCATGATTCTGTGGACCTCAACCTGATGAATCTGGGTAGTGGGAGCTCGGTCACTCGTTCGCCTAACGGGTCCCGTACACTGGACAGTACCGGTAGCTTGGTTACTCGTTCGGCTTACGGGCCCCGTACCGCCAGCTTGGTCACAGCACCGCTAGCTTGGTCACTTGGTCGACCGGCACTTGTGCAGAGATTGTCCTCCATGATGACGTTACATATGTAATCTTCTTGTCGTAATAACGGTCTGCTAATCAAATTCATTCTGATAATTTAAATAGTAGAAATGACTAACATTTTTTAGCAGTATTTTAGTTGGTTTACGTGGCAACACTGCCTGGTTAAAAATACCACGATGATAATTACTATTACGATAATTTAGTTGCATTTTTTGATGAACGTAGTCAAAACTCTTCCGCTTTGGCGTTCGAAGCGGGAGAGGTTTTGAAAGAAATGAATACTATCTCGCCGGGTTTTCGACTACGGGCTTCAGAATATAACATTGGTTTTGGTCAGTCTTCTCTGGTTTGCCGGCTCTGATGTGTCCCATTCGTGGCAATATAGATCTGAATTAGGATACGTGACACTTGTATCGGCAATGTAAAACCCCTGAGAATACAATAGCGATGAGAGCGATGCAAAATTTAAAACGGTAGTCCAAATAAGAATTTTCCAAAAAATTGTCCCATACTCAAGGCACGCAAGTACCGATCTCTGAACTTATACGATGTTATAATGCCAGACTACTTTCTTGCTTGGATTATTTTGATAACACGAATGTACGAAAGCTATTATCCACAAAATGCCTACAATGACAAATGCGAGAATAACGAGCCTTGAGCGATGCCTTTGGTACAGAACCCCTGAAACGTTGCGCACAAGCACTTTATGTTCCCCAAGGACTTCTCGCCAGGTTTGCAACTTCCGCATTTGTTTGGATAATTCCTTTCCAGAAATTCTGCGCACGTCATCGGTGTGTAAACACTGCCGAATGCACGCAGATATATCCGCTCGAATGGTGTCGATGATTTCCGGCGCATATCCATTGACAATGTAACGTACATACTGATGTTCAGTTAACGCTGCATTGAACCTGACCCTATCGTTCCCGTTTTGCAACCACTTTTCCTTGTACCCAACCCTGCCGTTAACCAGATCAACCATTATACAACCAAAACTCCAGATGTCACTTTTTCTTCCCGGTCGTGCAGTGTTTTGCGCTATGAATTTTTTCACTATTTCCGGTGACATGTAGCGTGGCGTTCCGCGCAGGTTCCTCACATCCTGGGAAACGGTAGTATCTCCATGCATCAGTACGTAATCATCCAAATCGCCAATTACTAGATGTTGCTGATTCCACTGGGAGATCTTCACGAATATATTTGAAGGTTTCAAATCTCCGTGTATAATGCACTGATCAAACAGAAAGCCTAGTCCTTCCGCCATATCAATTCCAAAACGAACGACAGTAGTCCAATTTAGCTTTTTTTGTTGAGCATCAGTCATATATTTTCCCAGATCGCCTAAAATGTGAGAATGGACAACCTAATTCGAATAAAAATTTAGGTAAGTTAACAACCTACCAGAACACCATTCCATTATAATTTCCAAAGCTGGCAGGCCGTTAGCCTCCGTTATCTCGTATCTGTAGTATTCCAGCACGTTTCGATGTCGTAGCGTCGTTAATTTATTAAGCCGGGCACGGATCTCTTGTTCAGTTTCCTCTGCCGACTGATCACTCAGTTTGCAAATTTTAGCCGCGATCGTGGTAGCGCCACGAAAAGCGCGCGTCTTTTCGATCGTGACTTTATAAACAATACCATATGTGCCTTTTCCGATAAATTCCCTTTTTTTATACTTTAAATCGTTACAAAATACTGCGGTTTCTGTGTCAAGGATACTCATTTTATGAAAACACGCAAAAGTAAAAACTAAGATTAGAAACTGTTTATTTTAATGTCAGTAAACGGAAGTGTTAAAACAGGGATGTAAAACACGAGAAAGCGACAGGTGAGCGCGCACGCGGAACTTTCTTATCACACCAACCAATTTCGGTTATCATCAACAATTTTGTATTACTAATGTTATCTCATGTTTCATAAGCTTCCTTATTTCACAAACTACGACTCTAAATGCGGCAGATTCCAATAACCGAATTATAACAAGCCTAGCTATATGCGCTATACGACGGAGAACAGTCGCATCATATAGGCGCTAATAGCTTCAATTTTTAATTCAAAAATTCGTATGTAAAAGTTAAGGTACGGATCCATTAGAGAATTTGTTTTAGCACAACAAACATCAAAAGACAATAATTTTACTGAATTTTGGAATCTGTCGCATTGACTATGCTCGCTCGTGTTTAGCGTAATAGCCTCGCTATTGAGTAGTGTATTTCATAAGTTTGTTGTATCTTGACAAGTTCTTTGGAATGACGTCTCTTGTTTTACGGTAGCTCTGCATTGTGGTTGTGGTTCAGTTTTGTATACTGCAACCACACATATGTATCTGTACGTTGTCGACTGTAAAAGCGTATCGACGATTCAAAATGTTTGCAGGATTATCTTTCATATTAAAAAGCTTGGAATCGCAAAAACCGTAATCACAACAGAAGATACCTAACAGGCTGATCTATTACATAGCAAATCTGGTCTCGATTAGATTACGTTTTCAAGCTGCTATTGCTAAGCGTAAAAGTGTGAGTGGGTACGCGGTGTTTCTGATCCATGGGTCCATGGCCACATTACCTCAAACACGCGTTATCTTAAACCGGTTCATAGGGGAAATATGTATAATAGCGCTGCGCTGCTTTACAAAAGGATATCAGAAACTTATTAATTTCAAGTTACAACTTACCCTACAAATACCGTGTGAAAGTGCTCTTCTCAAGAGCTTTTAAAATTGTCAGCGTATTACAACAGTCGTTAATGTCAAATATGCCAATGCCACGGTCCAGGAAATTTGATGTACTATTAGTACTTATTACTAGCGCACTTCACTGCGTTCATGATTGTTATTCAGTACTACTGAGTCTACTGCGCAAAGTATTCAAAAAAAATGTCGTCAACAGAGCCGCTGCAAAATTCTCATTTGGGGTCGATTGCGAATATAAACCTAAAGATTTTATTGCCGAAGGAGCATATGGAAGCGTTTTTAGAGCTGCCATTGTTCGCCGTGGAAAATTCAGGGGAGACGAAACGGTCGCCGTGAAATCAGTGAAACTTTATGAAATGCAACGTGCACTGGCAACGCCAAAAAGTTACATTAGCCTGCGCAAAAGATTAGACAAATTACTAAAACTGCATCATGATAATGTGGTCAAGATTCACCAGATAAGCATCAGCTCGGATGATGCGAAACTGCCCGTCGTCGAGCTGATGATGGATTATTACTGTGGTGAGTGCTCACATTGCGCGGTTATACGGTACTTACACCCTTCCGGCCTTGGTTAACTGGTTATGAACCAGTTAACCCAAGCCGGAAACGATTCTCAGTAGCAGTTCGCTTGCTATTTTTCGTCATGCACTGAAGCATGTTACCATTACTTGATTGCCTTACTTTTCTTAGTGCTTCTCTTGTATTAATGGGTTTTGCTCTAATTTTATTATGATGTCTGTTATTTAAATTCCCAAGGAGATTTAAATCCTAGCCTTTATTGGGTTACCTGCCAGCCGTACAATAAACAAAACAATAAACAATTTATCTCAAGCACAGGTGGTCACAAGCAAGCGCCACAACAGATCTATTTTACATGTCGACTAACTGTTCACGAACTCATTGCACAGAAAATCCCTTCAAGCATTTAGCTACGAATCATGAGTTTATATTACCGGGAGCCGTGGGGGGAGGCTGTAGGGGGTGGCGTTCAGCAAACTCCAAAACGTTACAAATTCCGCTGTTTTAAAAACAGTCGCGACATTTCCCGGCGAGACTTTCTTGAGCTCGGTGTGCTTACGAGCGGTAAGATTATCAACGGAAACAACCAGTGAACAAGGTACGTGACTTATTTCCAGCGTAAAGTTACAGCGAGAAATACAAATTCATGGGTTGCAATGAGCAAAATGCTACGGCCCGCTACGCCAGTCTTTGCGTATTTACATTTTACATGCATTGAATTCGTGTACTCGCGCAAAAGCATTCACTTTCGCGTATGTACACGAATTTGGTACTTTGTACCGGGTTTCTTCTATGAACGGTGTAACTTGGTGCGGTGTATCCGCGGTGAAGTTTTCACTAAAGCACTCAAAGCCCAGCGGAAAATTTCACCGTCGGTACGATGGAGTTCGGTGCTTTTCAACACACCACACCGAATATTTTTGGTGGATGCAGTGAAGAATCTGATTTCTGTGCCAAATCGTGTAGAACATTTCACTCACAAAACCGTAATTCTCTATACATGAGAAGTACCTAGTGAGTTCGTTATCACTTCATGCATGGCTAAACATCCTTCTTGCTTCTTTTGCAAGAGCCAAGAATACTCATTAGGGTAGCGGAAAATATTTCACATCTTTTTTCAGATGGCGACTTGCGGAATTACCTACAAAAGCTAAAACGAAGCAACATGTTTCTCGATCATCCGACCATCCTTCGATTCCTAACCGATATTGCGAGCGGTATTCGATATTTTCATTACAATAACATTATACATGGAGACTTGAAACCGGAAAATATCCTCTTTATGCCTTTGGAACACGGTGGAAAAAGGCTTGCGATTGGTGACTATGATGGCTACCTTAAGTCCAAAGGTGGTGGTGCTGTAACCAATTATGGTGTCAAACGGCCTGTTGTACTCCACGCTATATGTCGCCTGAAATGATGCGCTTTTTCATGAAAGAAGATTTTGGTAAAAATCCGGAGTTGGCAACAGATATCTGGAGTTTTGGCTGTATTGCGCTTGATTTGTTGGACGGTGTAAATGGTGACCGACGAAGGAAGTTGGTGTCCAAGGGAGCCGATTCCGTGCCAAATGAGGAAGCAGTTGATGAAAACACGACACTAGAGCGTTACAGCTACCTTTATTCAATAGGTTATGCTCCCTTCGTGCATAGCAGCATTTGGATCAACGTAAATGGGGCGGGAGGAAATGGGATAAATTTAGCGCATTGTATTGAAAGATGTTTTGCTATTTGTGGGAAGGAGAGGATAACGGCGGACCAACTCCTGTATGAGCTTCTGACAACTAAACAAGCACCTTCAACTATCTTAAAACAAGTTGATGCAGCTACATCGAGGTTGAACCATCTTGCCACCGAAAGCAAAATCCGCCGCTTGTTTCACTGCTGTTGGTGGGCAAATGATGTGGTGAAAAGGGAAACTATTTTGGAAACTTTCGACCCGACATTATCTTTTGTGTGGCGTTTTCCTCTCCCCACTAACGTCGTGCCCGTGAGCCCGGTACGAACACGAACTGCAAAAAACATCTCATGCATAAATAAATGTGCTAGGTTCATTTTTCAGAAGTGCTGAAATGTCTAAATACAAAGTACTTAAATGAATAAGCCCAGATTACTGTAGCGGCGGTTGCAAGATGGACCACAGGGTGCTGCGTGCGGAAGTTTGCACGCACATTTTCGGTGTACAAGGAAGCGTGCACAGTGCCAGCACGGCCAGCAGGGACTTTAGACAGAGCATCAGAACTTTGTTGCTAAACTGACTTTTCATCCAACCTAAGTAAAGATGTTTTAGATGAAACAAATATACATATTATACTTATCCAGAGCTAAACTTTTTGGTTTTTTATGCTGGACTATTTTGTGAATTTCACCGGGCAGCATTTATAATGTGGTTTTTTTTTAAACTTGTTTAAACCCATCTTTCTTGGAGGGACAACGAAGCGGAATTTCTTCCGGACGTAAGGAATACTGTTCGAAGAGGAATACCCTCCGAATGTATAGACTTGAAATATGACTGAACGTCGAACTGAATCAATTGCGCAGTAGGCTTTACCGCCTTATTACTCTGCTTTAAGTTCTTTTCCAAGCAATTCTCATTGTTGGTGGTGGCTGGAACCGAACTGAAAAGCCCTTGGTGATAACTGGCGAAACTTGACTTCGGTGCAAAATGCAATGCAAAGTTCAAATTACTGTAAAAGCAGTAAGTTAAAAGGTTGTGGCAACAGACAAAAAAAGATTTAGCAGTAGGGGGTCAAAATAGCCACACCCTGAAAGTGCAAACACTTTGAGGGCGTCGCCGCAGAGTAGCAGTACATTCTGTGCGCAAACGTGAGGGCGCAATAGGTTCTTGTAATCAGGTGCCATCAACTGTGAGTAAGTATAAAAAAATTCTTGGTAGGTGTGCCAACTGCGAGCTGCCGAAGCCGATAGTCAAATGGAAAAGCACGTCTGCTAGAATATGATATTGATTTCTAACATATTCCAGATGTCACTTGCTTCGGAAACGCCATGCGTATTCGTGAATTTACCTATGCGAAATTAACCGATTGCACTTATCTACTCTGTATGCACGGGCTTAAGCATTTATGCAAAATGCACTTACGGATTTGCTTATGCACTTAGGAATTGTTTATTGATTAGGTTAACTGGTCTGCTCTAGGTGTCAACGCGATCTTTATCCGGCTTTATAATTGACACACCGGTCTTAGCTGGTAATGGTGAAATAATTCTGGAGATCCCCGATGCAAAAAATTCATTCAAAAACATAATAGCTTGGAATGTTGCCACAGCCTCCTTGAGAATAGTGGGGTCTTGGCATTCACATTATGAGCCAATGCAACTGCTGCCAAAGCGACTGTTGCCAATTGCTGTGGGCACAAATCTTTATTTCTGGTTAGGAAGGAAACTTCAAAAGCTATGCCTCATTCGTGGAACACTATCCCGGGAAGATTTGCGGTACAAGGATGATACGTAAGTTGTCTGAGTTTTGAGTCCATCGGTATGAGTCCTGGTAGTGACAGCTAAAACGTTTTTCGTTAACGAATTACTCATTATGGCTTGTGACCAGAATATTGCGAACTCACGATAATTTACTTACTGAAGTGAGTTTTTGCAACCAAAACCTTTCAAGCCGTATGTAGTCACAGAATCTTTTAGACTTTCAGCGATCTTGTCTTCCTAAGCACACATCTGATTACAGTGGCGAAATCGTTTACGGGACACGGATCGAGAACCTCTTAATTTACGGTTATTTAACAAGGGTCAGATCCTCGTGTTCACTGCGATTTCATTGCTTGGACACTGTGACGGACCGGTGGAACAATATTTGCATCCCCAAGTTAAATAACGTACGTGAGAAATTTGCCATCGTTAAGCTTGACCATCACTTGTACCTCCTGGGAGGAAGAGAACCACTAAAGAATCCGTCTGAATTGCGAGAACGTTGCGAATCGAAGTTGGGTATTTTTGCATCCACGGCAAGCATAAAATCTTGTTTACGTGTAAATATTTCACGGGGGTCCTGGGAACCCGTTGCCCCGTTAAATCACGTACGATTATCTCCTTCCGCGTTTGTTTTACACGGTCAGATATATGTCTTTGGCGGTTGGTCTAAAACCGGTGACCCAGAAAAAACGATGGAAGTATACTGTAGAGAAAAGGATAATTGGTCTCTTGTCGGTTTTCCAGGGCCAGAAGATGAGAGCAGAAGTTCCAGTATCTTTCGGGGTATGGGGGCTAAGATCTACCAACCATGAAATAAAAGAGGCTACTGCAGCTTACATTAGAGGAGCTTGTGAATGATACGGTCATGCTTTCGCTTTTCGTAATTATCGGACGGTTAAGTGCTAGTGCGAATAGCGTTTTTTATTATCTTCTTATCAATAAAAATTAATAAACCTCTTGACTGTCTCAGCCCGTCAAAGGAGCGACCTCGATAGATGGATATCACTGTCGAACTTAATCGGAAAATATAGTATCAAGATTTCTCCCACAAGATGCCATCTATTAAAAATATAGGGCCTCGGACGATAGTTTTCTAAAAAATGTTTTGCCAATGGCGGTTGTAGCAATAAAGTAAATGACGGAACTACCGTTATTGTAGCGGTTTGTTATGCTCTCTAAGCAAAGCCAGCAAAATAAGAATTACTGCAAAAGCTTGTCGAGCAATTTAGGTCATAAAGGGACAGGCAATGCGCATTAAGCCTAATACGTACAGATACTGGCATTAGAACGCAATATTAATCCAACTTCTGAAATAGGTATATTACGTAGTATCGTTATTCTTTAAAGTCGGCCCGGGCTGTTTCGCCGCCAATAACAGCCTCCGCATCGACGACGACGTAATGGTTAAACAGCACCGGCCGCCACAGGTGTGCTTGCTCTTCGTTGTTAAACTTTATTGTTTTTCGCTTTTCCACTGATAACCGTCCTTAATTACAGCGACGGTCATTTTGATTCTGTTGTTACTTAATCCATATGTTCTCGCCGCGAGTGTTCCGGTCAAATTGCTGAATAAGTTTCTGTTTAACGGTACGCAAAATCATTTCGCTCTAACTATTTTGTTACTAATATTCACCAGAATTATGCAAGCTTTTGCCTTCTATTCTGCAGAAAGGCTGGAGATTACTGCATAACTGATACAGATTACACTATACAAACACATTTTATGAAAAACACAATTGCACCCCGAAAAACTTTGAAAATGCACAGTCAAAGATGACAATTGTGTAGATACTGAATTTAACCGAGTAATTTGCAGATATGCGCTTGCCGCGCTCTCGGACGGTTCAAAAGCGGTATGCAGTTCTTCCATCCCTGGTAAATGGGGAACTGCAGAAACAAGTGGGAAAAATTTCATGTATGTTGCAGAGTTTTATGGCTCACGAGCTGTGACCGTTCCGGTTATACGGCCAGCAGCACGTAGAGCAGATAAGTCCTAAGCCGCTCAATCCCGTTAACCAACTTAACTGCCAGGCGTAGCGGAAGCTCGTGTATTTGACGAATATGGAATAGCCAACCAGAAATCGTGGAGAGAAGCTGCAGCTCGTGAACGGCCTCCATTTGAAAATCCGCCAAACAGAGCCAGATTCTCTATAACTCGTTGGTCTTAAGGGAACGGGCAAAAACACTTTATTGTGGCTGCTGGGAAAAGGTCAAATGCCAGAAAGAACAGCAAGTGACGGAGCCGCGGAAGTCATACATGTCAACGGTTTCTTAGATTCTGTTGGGCTGCGCGTATGTGCACAAAAAGAAGTACTGTACTAGCATTATTAGTGTTTCCCTTCACAATTGAGAAAATTAACTAGTGAAGTGCACCGCTCTTCGATAGCACTGAAAGACCGAAGCAAAGCTAAAAATATTTCGACAAGTATCTAGAACTGGGGAAATGATTTACACGCAGGGATGTTGAAGCACTGATCCATTGCTCCTTTTTCCTGACTTTAATTTCTATGATAATGGCTGATAGAAGACTGCATAATACGAAACACTTTTTCAGATTTATTTGTACCTAATATTTAAGAGCGACATCTGTATGCTTAGTTAAAAAAGCTGACGCAGCCGTTCTGTTTTTACTGTCAATTTCGGGTCGGCCTACTTTACCTTTGCCGCCCCTTTGCCTTTGCCGTTTCACTTTGCCTTTTACAACTTAACCTTTACCTTTGCCTTTGCGGCCGTGAATACCTTTGCCGTTTCGGTTTACCGTCGAAAAATGCCGTTCAGAAAGCCTTTGCCGTTGAATAACCGTTAAAAAATAAATTACCGTTTACAGTTTGCCGTTCCTAACTTTTCTTGTTTTACGTTTCAAGTAAACAAAACTTATCGTACACATACATCGGCAAGTGTTGCACATTCCAAATTCATTTTAGTTTTTTAAGTAATTTATACGCTAGCATCTCAAATTTTACGCAGATTTATTATTCCGGTTCCTAGCCACAAGAAGCAAAAACTACTGACACCACATGGCACATGCATCATAAATTTGCGCAACAATTTGCAGAATCTGTACGTTGGTATCATATTACAATAATTAAACCATGCAGCAAAACTAATAAGAGTTGTTTAGGAGGGATGCTACCACCCACCGGTACAGAACTTATTCCATTGTAAGTCAGTTGGCTGGGATATGCTCAAAATACACACTTCTCGGGTTACAGAAGGAATGTGACGTAACAATTTCGTGATCGGTAAAGTAAAAATTAATGAATTAACAGTTACCGTAAACACGGCGGAGTTACGGTATATCGCAGCGGTCTTGCAAACAACATGCTCGTTAAAATATGCGGTCCCAGTAGTTAGCTGCACTGATTAGAACAAAAGGCCGTTTCGAAACATTTCGGCGTACTCTTTTTCGTTTTGAGCTGCCGCCATGAACCATTTGCCGTCATATACAACATTAAATCCACCAGTCGAATTAAATCCCTTGTGACGAATGCCGATGCACGACATCTGCATGTGATGATGGCGGATATGCTTATCTGTAGGATCCTGCGTACCTCGTTTGTAATCTCTTTCGCTTCTTGCAACAACCAGACCGAGGTGTGGGCGCGACTCAACGAGTAATTTCCGACATCCAGCGCACTTAATACTGGCATTGGCTGAGGATGGAATTTTCGTAATACGAAAAGGTTCTTCTTTGTATTCCTGTGCCCAGACCGGTCGATCTGCAAAATTACAGTGAAGAATTCCGCGGGTGCAGCAAATTAGCGCCATGTTACTTGTTACCAACGTACTTCTGACAAAAAATCAGAAATTTGCATGACTTCACCCAGCATACGATTATGTAGTGGATTTCGCCTACTTTATAATATTCACTACTTTTTTTTAGTGCAGCATTTTTGCAAACAAATTTATTTATTGAATTACCTGTGTTTTGGTTCGATGGGCCAGAAAAATGGTTATCAAAATGCCCCGAAGTATCGTCACGTTTATCAAACCGCAGGCGCTTTGGTGACGAGAATAGTTCCAGTGTGCCTTCCCAGTCCCTTCCATCGCGCTTTGTGTGCCCCGTCCCGCGATATTTCATTCTTCCAAAACCCGGCTTGTTTCCGCTATCAGGAAATACGCTGATCCGCTGCGCCGAAATAACCCACTGAATTACACGCTGTACTGCATTTGCTTTTGCTGCCACAGCAATAACGTGCCGACATAGCTTTTTGGTTCCGCGGCTGTTGAAATGCGAACACGTACACGAAGGTCTACCAGTTGGTAGCGTAATCTCCACTTTGTGCATCTTGCCATCGTCCGATTCAACAACATAGGATATACTGTCAGCAGACTGCGCAGTTTCTGTGTACAATCTGCAATTAATTTCATCTATTTCCAGGAGATCACGCGCTTCGCCCCACGTTACCATATATGTAGCCGGCAAGCCTGACTTCTCAAAAGGCAACAGAAGCGAATCAACAACAGTCGACACGGCTTTGAGTGCTGCTGTTGGCTTTCCTTGTATCCGGCAAGATACCTTGCCAGGATCACATCCAAAGAAAGAGCATAGCCGCTCTTTAATGTGCTCTTGATCATTTGCTTTCTCCGGAAGCATCAAAAGCTGCGATTTTAAAAATTCTGCCAGTTCAAAGGGCCCGTGGTCGAACAACGTCATTGCCAACTCTTCTTTTTGATCGTTGTGCATTGCAATCATGTTTTCTGTTGCAACGCGGATATCGTTTCGTTTACCAAAAATCTTTTTCATCTTCGCATGCAGGGATTCAGCCTGGTAGGTGTTTCCAAGGTCAGTCCCAACGCCGGCAACCAGCCGCATGGGTGCAATCAGTTTGTCAAGAAAGTTTTTTTCTTGGTACTTTCGGAAATACTTTGTGAAATCTGATGCCGATGCGCCCCACTTCCTGTAAAGTTGACGTTCTTAATTGAGCAAGATTAAAATATTTGAATCACAAATTGAAATCTACCATCGTAAGCAAACGTCACATATTTTTTAAATTGTGTTTCTCATATCTTTCATAAATTTTAGTTTCACTATTTTTTTGAAAAACTCGAATATTGCTTACAACCAACATAAATAAAAATATTATATATCTCGACGTATAAAATCTCAAAGGAATGCTCTTACTGTTCAAGTTTTGTTAAGGCTTGCTGGAATTCCTTCTCTGATCGGGAGTCAATCAATCCCGGCTGCAAGTTACTGTTAGCCAACACTTTGCCAAAAATGTCGACGAGAATTTGCTTTCGTAAAGCATGGGAACCGGTTCGCAAACGGATCAACTTCTGCAATTGCCGCTTTATATTCCGCCTCACGTGGATAACACACAGCGTGTGGCAGCTTAATGGAAATGCTTTTTCAAATGCACTGATCAGAGGCTTTTCGCCGTCAGTAATAAACGAAAACTACTTTTTCTTCAAATCCCATCCATGCTCCTGGAGACGCGCAGCAATAAACTCGGCCATTTGGGCGTAAGATGCTTCCGTTTGGGACTGTGTGAACATAACTGGGCCGGAAATAAAGGTTTTTGATCCGGTTCGCCGATTCACAACGGCATCGACCATGACCGTTGTCGTTAAAATGTAGTAGTTGGACATTTTAAAGGTGACATTGATTTGAATGGGATTGTGAGCTGCAATACGAAGAGACTTATTTTCCACGGTTATAGAAGAATCTTGATTTGCAATATTTGAAATAACATGTACTGTAGTTGCCAATAGTAACAATTATGGGACACAAATATAAATATGCAAACCCAGATAAGCACTTTTGTTCACGTCACAACGACCTCCCCTTTACGGCAGTTGGTCCATTTTGCGTGACGCAAATATGCAGAACATGCATATCCCGCCCAGATTAAGCAAAATAAAGAAACTACTCCAGAATAGTTTTTTTGAGATGGCAACTCAAATAAGCAGCTTATTTGAACGTACATCGTACAGAAATGTGTTACGAACTTACGATCAATAGGCTTATCAGCAGGTTCCTCAGGTTTTCCGTGATGTTTCTTTCGCATACTAGTGCAGTAACGTTCGAAAAGTTTTGTTTAGCACCTAACCATAAGTACGGTAGTCTGTAACTCCGTCTTGTTTAACTCCGTCTCCGTCCGTAACTTGAACTAATCATGTTCTGCTCTTCGTATCCGAGCCATCAGTACCAGAACCTGTGCCTGTTCCTACCCTGTTCCTACGGTGATCACGGTTCGGTCTGAAGAAGATACAGCAACTGGTCGAAACATGAAGAGCAAGTTTTAGTTAAATGGCTGGCAGAGCAGCTGATTTTGGTAGACGGAAGTCATTTAAATTTTGTAAACATCACGAGGCAGGGATTGGTTCTAAAAGCGACGGAGAGAAACAGACTGCCGTGGCCCGCATAATTGCTAGAATTTGAGATTTTGGCAAACGAAAAAACTAAAAGAGCTGTAGTTTTCACACATTTTAATTAACATTTTAATTTATTAGTACCGTGCTTGAAGGGAGCTACATTAAATGCGTTGGGAAGATTTTAGTTACAGACTGCAGTAATATGCTGACAAGCTACAGTAAAGTAAAATGCAGTTTTGAAAAGGAACACAAAGCTAGAAAGTGCGCATAAATTACGCAACGAAGATGGGCAACGGTTTATTGGCTGGTTCCGTTTTGCCTGTGACGTGAACAAAAGTGCTTTTCTTGGTTTGCATATTTATATTTGTGTCCCATAAATATCTTTAAAATTATTAATTTGATGCCGGGAAAAGTATAACGAGAGTAACATTTATTAAGAATTTACCATTTTGAGCAATTAGCGACAGCAAATAGGGCGTGCAGACGATGTAGTTGACCTTGGCACCTTCGGATTCAAACTCGCATGCAAAAACGTCAGGATTTCCGGCCAGACCGCTCATGTCCAGTTTGCCACAGCGCTTTACTGTTTCCAGTCCCCGCACATAAGAAACGAACCGTTTGCCACCGCTATTCCGGTAATATGGACTGAACACGATATCTTCTGGCGTGGTGCATGTTGTTGCTGCCTGGTGATACACAGCCGATGCGCTAGGAGCTTTTCCATGATGAGAGTCGCTGATAATTTTTTTGACGCTTTTACCGATTGAACGCGCCTGATACTGCTTGCCGACCGGAAGCTGATGTGGTGTGGCGTTGTTGTTCCAATAGTAAATAATAAGAACAAATTGGCCTGTCAAATCCATCGCTTTACAATCTGCCACTTCGAATACAATGATTCGGCCAAAATTTCGATCCGACTTATTGATAAAATCCCGAAAGATGAAAGTGTGAGTCTGAAAATTGTCGTCATCCGCAGAATCCATTTGCGATTTTTCTGTTTCCATCCGCCGGTCTGACCCTTTGATGCTAAGTCAAACGCCTTTTCTGCCTGAGTTTTTGGATCGACCCGTACCGCAAATTGCCCGGTGCCTTGAAACATGAGCGGCATTTGACTGGTTCCGAACGTTTCTAGTGTATCCGGGTCAAGAAGGGCAGTGAGGACATCTGTGAGCGGCACATGAGTGCGGAACAACGTGTATCCGTTACTGCAAAATGATCAGTTCAGAATTCAAAGGTCACGGTACGAAATACAATGTAGCCGAAAAGTAGTTGTAGAAAAGCAGTTATGTACAGCACATAGGTTCCCATGTTAACCAAGCAATTTATCAATGCACATGTCGTTCCTCAGCAGTTTAACTTATGTGGGATGATTTTTTTAAATTCTGAGCGAATTTGTGACAAATAAAATTCGATTAAATTCTACCGTAAGTTACCATTGGCCCGCGCTCAAGCTCGGACTTGGACTCGGACTTGGACTACTAAAACTTGGACTTGGACTTCACTTGGACTCCAAAATTTGGACTTCACTTGGACTCTAAAACTCGGACTTTATGACTTAGACTTGGTTGTAGGCGTTTCTCAAGTCTTCTTACGTTTCTTCATGCTTTCTCAGGTTTCTCAGGTTTCTTAGGTTTTTTAGGTTTCTTAGCTTTCTTAGGTTTTTTCGGTTTCCTTTGTCTTCATAGGTTTCTTAGGTTGCTCAGGTTTCTTAGGTTTCTTAAGTTTAACTAAGAACCTAAGAAACGTAAGAAAAAAAACCTAAGAAACTTAAGAAGCCTAACGAACCTAAGAAACCTAAGAGACCTAAAAACCTAAGAAAACATTAGGAAACGTAAGAAGACATGAGAAACATAAGAAACGCCTAATTCTAAGTCCAAGTCATAAAGTCCAAGTTTTAGAGTCCAAGTGAAGTCCGAGTTTTAGAGTCCAAGTGAAGTCCAAGTTTTAGTAGTCCAAGTCCGAGTCCAAGTCCGAGTTTGAGCCTGGGCCGTTACCATTTGTAACTCGGTCCAAGAACGCTGTGAGATTCTCCTTTATCTTCAACTGGTGCAGTTCCATTTATGGTAAAAATTCCGACTGGAGGCTGAAATCGCTGTTCGTCCTTGTGTGAATCGAATGCATCCACTTCCGTTTCGTCCCTAGCGCACAGATTCCCGTTACGCTTTCAATCGTCACATTTTTGTTTGATTAATATTGGTCGGTGTCTAAAAAAACTTACGATTCGGAGTCTGTAACGGAAAAGCTTCGGATAGCCCTTATCTCGTCATTTTGATAACCGACGTCACTCGACAAATTGGCTTCTTGATTAGCACTAACATGGTTGATTTCACAATCAGTATCTGTAGGAATACAATCGTTATCATCGTCAGAAATCATGGAATCTTCTTTTCTTGTCTCCATCGCATAGAATAACTTGACAGGAAATCAAGCGCCACCCCACTGAGGTCAAGTATTACATGCCATTACAGATAGCTGTATTTCATCAGAAAATGCTTGTTGTAAGCGTGGCGATAACGATGCACAGATGTGCGAAGGAAATGCGACCGCGCTACCAAAAGAACTTTATTAAAAATGGCAATTTTTAATAAAGGCACAATGCCCGACAAATCTAGACCATCCGCAGGATGATCAGAAAACCCAGAAAGGGAACAAGAAGAAAACAGAATCGACCAGTCAAGATATTTTTGGCTGGGAGAAGGCAAAATCAGAAGTGAGGCTGTGCATTTTTAATGCACAGTCGAATTGGAAAAAACAGATCGGAGAGACGGTGCGGCATCCACGCAGCCCCACCATCGTGGGCGGTGGCACCGGCCTCCTAGCATGCCACGGGACGGAACTCCGAGCTCCCGCGAGGACACACCAAATCGAACAAACAACACAAGAAATGAGCAAAATGCGACCGAACACAATTTGCGGCGCATATACTACGTTAAAAAATCACAAAAAATTTGGCGATTTTGATGAGATCCATTCCATAATGAATTCAGCTTGGAGAATCACTTGTCCTCCATATCAGCATTTCGGCAGCATCGCTCACGCATCGTTCAACATGTCGGTGTCAGCGTCAGCGGCAGCAGTGTCAGAAATAGAATCGGCTGTGGCAGCCCCGGCGACTGCGTGTAAAGCATCGCCTACGGCTTCGGAGAGTGCATGTTGCAACGGCAATTCTTCCACTGTCTCGTGGAAAACATCGGCTTCGTCGCCTTGCGGCGCGATCGGCTTTTCTGGCGATCTACCCGTCCAAGCAGGTAATCGCTCCGGACTTTCATACCGAATAAAGAACATATATCCGGGATCGGTCATTTGTCTGAGCGTTTTCTTTCTCAGCTCGACGAGCATGTTTTCCACATACTCATTAGACGACGGCTCAACGTGGTCTTGGTACGACTGTGTCGTAACGTAAAAATCACGTTCGGCTTTATTCATTCGGGATAACGGCAATTTCGCAAGTTCCTTCTCGTCGAAGGTCTCACGGGTCGGCGGAAACACAGGTACTGTATACACCTGCGGCGGTTGTGCAGTACTCGCTGACTGCTCTTCCCCTGGAACTCTCGGCACTTCTATTAAAGTCGGCTGTGCAACATTAATTTGTTGCTGCTCAACCAGAACAGTTGAGATCGGCGGCACAGGTGCGGGCACAGCTGGCAACTGCTGTGTCTTTTCTGCAACACCCGTTTTATTAGCGGCTTTTACTACATTCTTATTTTTATTCGGCTCAGTACTCGTACCTGTGGACTTGACCGTGGTCGTGTCCAACAACGACGGGGCAGACCCGAATTTTGCTAATGGCAAATTCGGCTTGACTACAGGAATTATAATCGGCTTTGCAATGGGAGGAGTCGGCTTGACAGGCTGTTTCCCACCCATCACTCCCAATTGCGGCGTCGCAGTATCACCCGACTGTTTATTCCGATTATTACGGAATTTCTGCTCCGGCTGTACGGTTTTACTTCCCGTAGGAGTATCCGGCGAATCTGGTAGCGGCCTTTTCTTATAACTCTGGCCCATATCGTACTGTTGTTTACGCTGGCCATAACGCTTCATACGATCGTCGATGTCGTCATAACAACGACTTTCCTCCGGCTGATCAATGTCCATATGGACAGGGCCGGCTGCGGCAATGGTGTCTTTTAACACCTGCTCTTCCTGTGGTTCGGTTAGCGGCGCACCCAGCATCCCAATTAAATCAGTGATCTGGGCGTACTCCGGCCGATTAATGGCACCATAAACTGCTTTATGGGCGCTGTGGCTACCAAGTAGCGCGGCTAACATATTTAATACGGCGGCTTTTAATCCGGAATTATATGGGATCGTTTCCCATTTGATATCCCGTTGGTCTAACTCGTAGTTCATAAAATCGGCTACCTTGCAGAAGAAATAAAATTTTGCAGGATCGGCTTGGGGGAGTACAAATTGCATAAGAAATTTCTCCGACGTAGCGTCCCCGTAAATTCGAAATTGAGAAATAACCTCAATATCGACGGCTGTGAACGGCGTAAATAAGTGCTTACGATCAAGCACTGAACGCAAATTACTTCGGCGGCTGGTTGCATAACTCCGGATTTGCAGAGAACGCGACAAATCGACTGTGGAATAATCAAATTCCATCATACGGTTTCCTAACCCGGTTTTCTCCAGGATAGCGACGGCGTACGTCATGAGTCGACGTAAATACATCATCTCTCGCTCGTTACTTTTGTTAATACCGGCGACGGTAGCGAGCTTATGGATATAGATAATAAAATCGGCCGTGTAGTGCTTTATATCGCGCACCACTTGATTCGGATTGATGGTCGGCTGGCGTGGTCGTCGGTTACCACGATACTCGCGAGAATTGCTCTCACGTTGCGGCTGTTGTGATTCGTTCGGCGGATTATTCTGCGGTTTAATCGGCTCCTTACGCTGTGTATTCGATTGCTGATAATTAGCAGATCGAATTTTCGGCTGATTTCCGCGCTGTCTGCCACGATTCTGCAAATCAGCGGAAACTTTAGTCTCATATTTCGACAAGTCTCTCCCGGCAACTACTATATTCTTGCCAGAATGGGAGTGATTTTCAGACGGCTCTAAGGTGTATTCAATACGGTGACGAGCACCAAATACTGATCGGCTACTGTCGCTAGACGACGGCTCCCTAATCGACGTATTAGAGTCGTCAATTGACGAACTACCTACTTGCTTCGACAGTCCGACACGCGCGTCTGGCTTCACACGCGACGTGCTGGGCTGCACTTCGGCTGGACGCTGCTGTGATGCAGCTCGGCTTTGGTACTGCTGCGGTGCAGCACTTCCCGGATAACCGCGTTCTCGCAGCCAGGGATCATAAGTCCCTGCACTGTCGGCACTGTTCGGCGGCTGCTGTAAAAGCAGTTCGTTATACGGTTGTACTTTAGAAGTAGAAATGAATTTAATTACCAGTTCGTGCTGCTGACGGTAACTTTGATACTGCGGCTGATTAAAAGCGGCATCGGCTTGCTGCTGATATTGCGCATATTGCGCCGGCTGGTACTTTGTCGGCTGGTACTGCTGATAGTACTGCATCTGCTGAAGCGGCGACATGGGATTCATAGCATATCCCTGCGACATAGTTAAATTAAGAGCGTCAATTTCCCACTGACTGGGATTATTGTCGGAACGATTTAAAGGAACACATTCCCAAGTACTTAGGGAACAAGTCTCGGAATCAGAGTCGGAACTAATTACCTGGTTCGTCGGCATCTGCGCTTGTGCAGGATAGCTGGTCGGCAGCTGCATCGGCGCAACGTAATTCGGCTGTGTTGGCAATTCGGCAGGCAGTGGCATATCGCACCACTGTGGTTCACGAGCGACTATCAACTTCCGGGCTGCATCGTTCATCCTGATACGCACCCAAGGTTTGGTTTGGAATACCGGCTCGAAATGCGTCTCACCAAGTGTGACATACGCATCCAGGTTGCAGTTGAGGACTTCGTTAACCAGTCGGCTCACGACGGTGTCCTTCTCCTGTTCGCTGTACAGCTTGTCTCCAAAGAGACATTCGGCGCATTTTCGGCGGTTGGTGTTGTAACGGCAGCGATAACACTGCGTCGGCTCCATATCATCTATAATAATTATACTGATTAATTTACCGTATTGTTCGACGATTTTAACGCTAAGTTAATCGGCAACTAATAAGAGCGACAAGGTACGAACCACATTTTAGTGGGGAGATAATAGCGGCTTTAAAGTATTTAACCATTTTATCTAATAGTTATTTTCCGGCTTGCTGCTATCGGCTACTTATTTTTCGATTTAATCGACCTGTTTGAATTGTGCGAGGGGCACAGACCACGATTGAGCAGGGGATAATGACGGCTATTGAATTAATCAACCATCTAACTGGTGATTAATTATCGGCTAATTTTACGGAATCAATATCGACAGTTATCGGCGTTTTTAATTCTAAATTGAATTATCGACGTGACGAATTACATGAATAATTCAAGAATTGTTTCAGTAATTAATCGGCAATTATTCGATATTTATTTCGATTACGGCAATGATTACTAATTACTTCGTAAGCAATAGTGAAGATTCTCCAGATTGGAGCGGCTAATAGAAATCGGCAAGAGGTATGGACCACTACGGTAGAAACTAGTGGGGATTTAATTCGGCAGGTGGTACGAACCTCACGATAGTGAGGATATAGTCGGCAACTATCTTACATGTACGTATCCGTTTTTGTTACGGCGCACATGTAACTTGAGTTTAATCGGCTTTTTCTTATTATTTTTACGGCTAGTATCCTCGGCAACCACCCTTTCGGGTTCCCACTGATCATCGTCATTGACGGCTTCGGTATTATTTTCGGTATCATTATTTGCGGCTTCAACGGTTTCAACTGTATCGGCTGGTATGAACGGCTCAGCGTTCACATTTAGTCCATTTTCGGCAGATTTCGGCAGGGAGATCGTACTGGTTATTCCCTTACGATTCTCTTCGGTAGTATTATAACGTTTGAGACGCTCGCAATTCACGATGCGAGTTTCTCCCGGCTTATCTTTATTCTCAATTTCAACGGCGTTAGTATACGGGAAACCGGTAACTTCCCATCTACCTCCGAATTTTTCTCGGAAAGATTCGGTTTCACCTTTCTTCTTCTCTCGCGTTAGAAAAACTAGTTCACCGATCTGATAATCGTCTTCTCGACGTTTTTATTAAATCGTTCGGCCGTTTTTATAAACTCTTCTCGCATATAAATTTCGGCTAACTCATGCGCTCGTGCCAAATTATGGCGAAATTCTTCCATATATTCGGCTATCGACGCATGTTCGGCTGGTACATTGGTCTTAGTGACCGGATCGGCTGGAATAACCTGCTCACGCCCGTACAGCATATAGTACGGCGACATGTGAGTAGTTGCATTAGCGGCTATAACAAACGGGAGAATGGTATCCCAATTCTTTTCCCGTCCGTCGGCGGCGTACACTGCCAGAGAATCAGCAATGGTTTGCATTTGACGTTCGACTAAGCTTCTACCAATCGGATGGTAGGCGGCACCGAAATGATGTTGAATTTTTAAGCGATGGTTGATCGCTTCAAGAAGCTTATTGTGGAAATGAGTTCCACGATCGGTATTTAAAATATGCGGCGTGCCATAAGGCAAAAATACGTCGTGAATAAGGAAACTAGCAACAGTTTCCTTTTTCGCATTAGGAATCGGCTTAGCTATTACGAACTTAGTCAATTCGTCAATAGCGACGGCTATGTATGTATTACATTTTGGGGTAATCGGCAAAGGTCCTTTCAAATCGACTTGTACTCGTAACCAAAGAGCTCCGATAGCTATCTGTTGTAGCTTACCCGGCGGTGCCTTCCGTTCGGTTTTACGGTTTTGGCACAAGTAACAATTGCGTACGTATTTATCGATGTCGGCAACCATGCCGTCCCAATAATAACGAAGCGCAATTGCTTGATACGTCTTTAGTGGACCTAAATGCCCACTAGCCGGTGTATCGTGCATAGCATGCATTATATCGACACGCATATGCTTCGGCACGACGAACCGTCGATCAAGGCGGCCGTCTTTTTCGGGTAATCGGTACAAAACGCCATTCCATAACTCAAAGTATGGATCGCGTTTGATTAAATGAGTGCTTTCGGCTTGGCCCTCAAGGGCATGAATACGCTTTTCGATTACAGGATCCTTTTCCTGTTCGGCTCGATAACACTTAAAATTATCTTCGACTTCGTCATGTTCGGCTGGGTCGGTGATAGTGACGACTCGAATGGTCGGAGTACTAAACTTCCGATCTTTCATATCGTCCCAGTCGTCATCGTCGGCTGTTTCGACCGGCGGTCCGACTGGATGTCGGCTTAAAGCATCGGCATTATCGCATTGTTCACCCGGCCGATACTGAATAGTCATCTCGTGACTACTCAGCTGAAGTGCCCAACGGGTCAGACGCCCGTTCAAGCCTTCTTTCCTCGACACAGAACGTAACAAGTTTGTTAATGCCTGATGATCGGTTTGCACATAGAAATGTGAGTACTCGATGAAGTGTCGGAACTGCAAATACTACAGCCATACATTCCAATTCGGTGATCGGATATTTGCGTTCGGCATCGGTTAGGAGTTTGCTAGCATAAACGATGGGATGCCCATCCTGATGTAGGATAGCTCCTATTCCAATCGTACTAGCATCGCACTCAATAACTGTCGGCTTATTTGGGTCAAACTTGACCAAAACCGGCGCATTAATCAATGCATTTTTCGAATCGACGAACTCGGCATCATGTTCGGCTGTCCATTTATTCTTCACCTCAATTTCGCCCTTTAGCAAGCCATACATGGCTCGGGTTCGGCTTGCAAAGTCCTTAACGAACTTCCGATAGTAGTTACATAAACCGAGGAAGGACCGAAGATCCTTCTCAGTTTGCGGCTTCGGATATTGTTGAATCGCGGAGATTTTCTTTGGATCGGTTTTGATTCCGGCTTTAGACACTATGTATCCAAGGAAGTGCAACTCGGTTTCACCGACATGGTACTTGCTCGGTTGAAGCGTGAAGCCAACCTTTACGAGGCATTCACACATTAGTCGGATCTCACGGATCAAATCGTCGAAATCCTTTGCGGCTACGATAATATCGTCTAAGTACGCAAAGATATTCTCATTGCGTACTCCTACAAGAGCCTTATTCATAGTCTCTTGGAATGTTGCCGACCCATTGCACACACCAAAGGGCATGCGCAAAAATTCGAAAAGACCGTCCTGCGTGATAAACGCAGTCTTTTCAGTTGAATTTTCGGCCATTTGTATTTGCCAGAATCCGGCATTACAATCGACACCTACATAATATGCATTATCGGCTACGGATTGAAGCAATTCATCCGGTGACGGCAAAGGATAATTATTCTTTTTCGTTGCGTCGTTCAACTTTATATAGTTGACGCAGAAACGGGTGCCGATAGTACCGTCTGGATTCTTTTTAGAAGCCAGCACAACTGGGAAACACCAGTTGCTATTTGATCGGCGAATAATTCCTTTTTCGAGCATTTCTTTAACATGTTCTTCGATTATCTCCCGACCTGGCCAAGAAGTACGGTGCGGCTTACATTTAATCGGCGGGGAATCACCCGTATCGATGTGATGTTTTACAATTGTAACATCACCAAAAGGTCGGCGTTTAGTGGCAAATAGATCAGGGTATTCAAGGAATACTTCCTTGATCTTCGCTATTTGTTCGGCTGTTAGCTTAGAATTTATTTTAAGCGTATCGACGGCTTCTCGGATTTCTTGTTGTTCTTCCGGTGTTCGTTCGGCTAATTTAACGGAATTAATACAGATCTCATCATCTTCTATCTTTTCATACGGCTCGAGATAACCGATGAATTGACCTTTCCTGATCGACTTTCGGCTATTATGGAAATTGAACAATCCCAGTTCAAATTTCCCATTAGTTGGTCTTACGACTCCTTCGATCGGCTTAATATGCCTCTCCATGTAAACATGTGGGCTCGGCCAGAACATAAACTTATCGGTAGCGAATTCTTCGGTTGGATCGAATCGTGCTACTACTGCAGCCATGTTTATACCAGGATTGATTAGAATTTTATCGGTAGCGAACACCTTAATCGATTGGAGGCGTGGGCTACTAGGGGTAGATTCAATAGTAGGCGACTCAGAAAATTCCCAAGTCTTATCAATAGCTGTGGGATCAGTTGACTGATCAGGTTCAGCTGATTCCCTAATAATCGGCGTAGATTCAGTATTTTTTACCGGCTCTACATTTGCAATGACTAGATTAGACGCGTCATAAGGTTGAATACTGGGTAGTGTTTCATTAGGGCCTGGTATATTTTCGATTACGGTATCGGCATGATTCGGCTCGTTCGGTTCGACATTCGCAATATTACATGCGACGTCATCGTTCGGCTTTGGTTGCGGTCTACATTTTATATTCGGCTCATCTTTACTAAACTCCATTACGGACGCCATTGGGTGAAAATGTGCCCGAGGCGCTCGGTTAGCTTTAATCATGCCTTCCGCTTCGGGAGGCGTATTATTCGGCTTATATTTCGGCTTAAGCTGATACGGCAACTGTACGGCTGACTCTAGCTTTACTGTAGTCATTTTTTCTAAGTCGGCTCGTAATGCATATGGTACATCGTATTTGAAGTACTCAAATGCTTCCTTCAGCTTCTTCTGTTTCTCTAGCATCAGGATATATTCGTCTCTGATTGCTGAATCGAGATTCTTAATAAGCTGTTCGGCTTCTTCAGGACTTATGCCTGTAATCGGCGTACTATCATCTGCTATGACAAGAATATCTTGTCGAGTTTTATGGAATGATTTCGCTAGTCCTCGTACTTCGGAAACAAAAACTTGATATTCTTGCCATAATTTAGCAAACGACTTTCTCGGCGGCGGTAGTTTAATGCTCGTTTTGCTCGTGGCCTTTGCCACGGGTATCGGAACAATTTCGGCTTTAGGGGTCGGCTCTTTAGAAATATCAATAGCATTAATAGTTGGTTCCGATGCCACGGGTATCGGAACGATTTCTTCAATAGTATTCGGCTTTTTAGGTTCAATAGTTGATGGATCGACCATTAGGGTATTAATCCTACGGATCCATTGTAGTTCATTATCACGGACACCAAAGGTAGTACCGGCCAAAAAGTCCTGACCCAATAGCACTTTAGTGTCGTCGACAGTCGGCTTAATGTAGAAGGAATGGTTAATTAGTTCGCCAAATATTTTAACGGGTACCGTGCAGTAGTGGGTTACTAAAAATCCACACATACCACCGATTCCTCTAATGTTTAACGGCTTAACCAACGGTAGTTTTTCCAGTTTTAGCTCATCGACGAACTCATTCGAGATGAGTGACGTCTCGGCTCCAGTATCGACCATAACCATAACGGTTGTGCCTAAGATACGTGCCCACACCTTTAACGGTGGCGCTCGTTTCGGCTCTTTAGTTGAATCGTCTTTAGAATCGTCAATATTGATTTCGTTTATAATCGGCTCGTTTAGTTCGATCGGTTCGGTGATTCGGATACCACTAATTGTTATTATTTCAGTAGTATCCGGCATTTCACCAGGCAACCGGGGAGTACTGCCGGAAGTTACTCCCCGTTGTCGTTTTCCTGGCTACTGGCTGATGCGGCATATTCATTTTGTCTCGGCGGCGGTGAACGTGACGTCGGCCTTGGACCTTTCGACTGGCCCTGGCCTTGGCCACGCGACTGTGAATTGTTTCGGGAACGGCCACTATTAGGGGTGCCCGTTCCACTACCGGCTTGGCTTCGGCTGTGGAAATCCCGGGCGTACCGGCGATTCCCCGTAACCGGATCGTGATACGACAAATAGATTGGATTTTCGGCTCGGGGCACGTCCTTGAACTGACATGCCTCAAAGTAGTGCCCACAGACATCACATTGCTGGCAGTACTCAACGACTCGGCCGTTTCTCATCTCCTTGTCCAACCGTGGAGCCCGGTTAGTATTCTCGGGAATACGTCCGGCGTTCTCGGCCCACAGCTGGGAACGGTTCGACTGTTGATTATTGTTGTTATTGCCGGCTGGCCTAACATTGCTATTATTAGCATTATTTGCCGGCCTAATATTACCAATATCGTTGCCATTATTGGCTGGTCGATTTGGTCGGCGATTCCCCACATTAATGGGGCGCGGCGGGCTGGCAGCTGCTGCCGCATAGCTCGCCGGCTTCGGCTGGGTCTGTACCGTACGAACGGTCACAGAGTCGGCATCTTGGTTCTTACGCTTACTGCCGACCGGAATCACATACTTTTCGGGATTACTCGCCGTCAAGTAGCGAATCTTTTCCAAGAATTTTTCCGGCGTGCGAGGGTCCATACCCTCGATTTTATCATGCAAGGTTGCGTGCGACTTAATACCCTTCATTAGAAAGGTCACGAATTGATCCGGCGTACCGGCAGAACCGGCCTTATCCCTCAGCGTCATCATCGCCTGAAAGAAACTCTCAAGCGATTCCTGACCTGGACGGTACGTTCGGTTCGTGAGTTCGGACAACGCATTTACAGAGCGTCTGGTATCGCCGAACCGCGCAACCAATTGGTTACGCCACTCCCGGTACGTAGTCGGCTTATTTGGGGACGTGAGCAGGCCGTTGTACCAGATTACTGCCTCGTCCTTTAGACAGTAGGCTAGTTCGGCTATCTTACGCTCATCGCTAACCCATCGGTTTTCTTTTGCGGCTTGCTCAAATTTGATGAGAAAACTATCAATATCTTCCTTACTGCCATTATACGATGGCCTAGGAACCGGCTGTCGTATGGCATCGGCTAAGTTGGCTTTCCTTAATGGACTATTAGTTCGGCTTGGTCGTTTACTTAGCTTACGCAGTTATTCCCGCAGAGCTTCACAGATTACCTCTGCATCTTTATGGGAAACCTGCTGTCGGCTGATATCTACTGTCGGGGCCGGCTCCATTCGGGAGTGCATGGTCTCGGGCTGGCCAGCACGCATTCGTGTAGGCGGCCGTTCTTCATAATCGATTTGGTTTTCGACTGCGGCCACCATCTGTTGATGCGTTGTCAACAGACGGTTATAGTTTTCGGCTAGTACATCAAATTCCGACCGGATTCTCTCACTCGACTCTTGCAGCGTAGAGATCGAAGCGAGTCGGTCGTTCGACTCCGTACTCAACTTCCCGTTCTCTTGGATAGCTTCAAGATACTGTTTACGGAAGTTGGTCGACGAGTCCTTTTCGGACTTTAGTTCGGCTTGTACTTTTTGTAGTTCGGCTTTTAGTTGATCGATCCTATTATCACGTTGTCTAACTTGGGCAGCGAGCCCGACAGCGGCTTCGCTTGCCTTGTTATGGGAGCCCCTAGCAGTTCGTAGCTGCTCTTTGAGGTCATCCAACTCGGCTTTCGTATCGCAAATCGTCTTATTACGTTTTGCGATATCTTGTTCGGCTTTTTCGTATCGGACTCTAAAGTCCGACACTTGGTTCTGCAACTCAGCCACTGTATCGGTGGCTTGCATTAACAGGCTGAACCGAGGCCCTTTCTCCCCTGTCGGCTGTAACAGCTGAATCGGCGGAATTTTTAGGATTGGCGTCAAATCCTTGCCCAAGGCCCTATCAATAAGACTCGGACTGGAATGCGCCTTCGGTCTCAACGGTACCACCGTTGTCGGCTCCTCCTCCTCGTCATCCGACGAGTCGGGCGGCTTATTTGATTCAGGGTCGCTAGTATTAATTAGCGATACCGATGATAGCGTCGACGTAATCGACTCTGTCGCGCTATCGGCTCTCTCTACGTTCGGCTGGGTTTCTACCTCGATCATGGCCTCGTTCAGGTCCTTAGGGACCATTGGCGAGGCCGGATGTTCTACCGACTCAGGTACTGGTAGATCGGCTAATGGTGCTCTTTTCGGCTTTCGCTTATTTGTTTGTAGTACTTGATGTACTACTTCCTCACCACCGGCTACTATTTGTTTTGCTTTCCCGCGGGTAACGTTGCGGGCTGCGTTATCATTTATTTCTGTTTCTTTCGGCTGATTTCGGATTATTCGATCGGCTGTTCGTAAAAGATTACTAGCGAACTGCTTCGCTTTGTTTACTGGTGTTCGTTCCATATCGGCGATATCATTGAAGTGCAACCGATAATTATTACGGTTGTACTCTAGTAATTGGTACGGTAAAGTTAAAGGTAACTCACATTCAACTTCCCACGAATGGGTCGGCGAGAAATTGACCAAATCGCAAAACGATTTTCGATTTAACTGAAAAGAGTATAAACGGTCAATCGCGGCGGTCGTTATTGTAATTAGTACCTGATAACACTATTGACACCCTATACTCTCGGCTGGTACAATCGGCATTCCATAGATCTCAATACTTCGATTATTGAAATAATTCAATAACTGGCAATCGGCGATTAATCAAATTACGGCGATTACTCAAATCAATAGTAATTATCAACTAATTACACGGCAGTTTTCGGCTGTTCATTCAATCAGTCTCCAGTCAGAAGGCTGATGAACCTTCCACACTATCCGGCAAATCAGGCCTAGATGGCCTTTAAATTTTCGAGATTAGATCTGCGATGCAGATCCGGCAAGCTCAGTGGAAATACGGGCGATTAAACCCCGATATTTCACTAAAATTAATAGTAAAAATAATTTCGGTTATTCGGCTTGTGCTATACAAACCGTTTGGATTTATCGTTACAATTCCAACGGTTTATTAACGATAATACGGCAGTCAATTTCAGTAATTCACCGAAATTATTTTCGGAAATTAACTGAAATGATTTCAGTGGTGTTTGAAAATTACGATCGATAATTTGATTAAATTATCAGCGGTTTCCGACTTCCTTCACTGGGTAACCAGTAGAAGGTAAATTCCACAATTTTCCGGCTCACTTCAATTCTAATATTTCTACTAGAATTGAAGTTTAAACGGTGAAATCGAAAAAGACAATATGACACGGCAATTTCGAATTAAATTCGAATAGATTTTAACGGCGTACGATTCGGTTTTCTGTTCTGCCTTTAAAGCAGAAAGTTGATTTCACCGTTTTCCGGCTTGTTTTAATTTTAGTATTTCTACTAAAATTAAACTGTAAACGATAAATTTAAACAACGATATTATGCGGCGATATCGAATGATAATTCGATTGAATTTCGACGGCAAAAACCCAGTATTTCCACCGTGTTTTTGGTGGTTTTCTTACGGCAGTTTCATTTTGATTACGGCTTGTAATTCTAGTTGTTACAACTAAAATTATTTCGACGATTCGGATTTAGTATTTCTACTAAAATAAGGTTCGGTGCAGCAATACCCAAAACGATATTATACGGCAATATCGAATGGTAATTCGATTAGATTTTAACGGTAAAAACCCGTGAATTTCGGCGGTTTTCTACAACAATCTCGAGGAAATTTCGGCTTGTAAATCTAGTTATTTTAACTAGAGTTAATTCGGCAATTTACGGCATAATTTTACGGTAAATATCAACGATTTCCGACGGTAATTGGTAGCAGCATACGTGCATGAAAGCACTAACACAGCTACAGTAAACGGCAGCGTAATACGGTAGCTTTGAGGAAGCTACCGTTCGACAGAATATCGGGTGACTCTAGAAAAACTTCCAGAGACTATCGTCAAAACATTCTAGAAGTATTCTAGAATTTATCGGCTGGTTGTTTGCTGTTGCAAACACAGCTTACCTACTGACTGTTGAGCGACGCGTCGACGTGAGACGATGGTGCTGCTGACTTGCTTCGGAGATTCGTTTCCGAATACAGGATCGTTTCTTCGCTCTCCGCTTGCTTGCAGGAGTATCCCCGATGTGAGGGCTTGCTCCTGGTATGGGGGAGAGACGGTTAACGGCGGATGGCGACGGGAGATCGTTGCAGGAACTCCGACGTGTCGGGCGGCTGCAGTGAGTTTCCCTCGTCGAGGCTGTATG